CATATCTTGAGGTCAAGCATTTGTAAAAAAAAACATACCGATCTCCTTCTGGACGCCGTCGACATCAACGTCAATCGATTCAACAAAATAGGCCATCCCTTCGACAGGCTCAGCACACAACGGTCCTTGGAACATAGCTAGCTGGAAGCCTGTCTCAACATAGCCCGTGAAATCAACATCATTTCCAGATATGTTCGTGGGCTTAGCTGAAAAATTCCGTGAGAGGCGACGCCTCAACCTGAATAGAACATCAGTGACACCACAAGGAACCACAAAGCGACACACGATAATGTTGTAGCATCTTTGCGATAATCAATAAGAATACAGCCCCCAGCGTGATGGGGGCCGAACGACCATATTCTGTCGCAGATATTTACCCATTCCCCGCCAGCATCGTTGCACTTCTCTTCTAGTGCATTCCAAAATTGGTCCGCTCTAACACTTGGAGTATGAAGCACATCGCCTTGAACACCAACCAGTTCGCTCTCAGAAACAGTGTCGATAATGCTACTGGAGGTATCTTTATCTGTTTGACCGTCCCGTTGCAATGTTCTGAGAGTCGTTAAATTGTGCAGCAGGAATTGCAAGATGACATCGGGGACAGGCGCCGAGCGAATAGAAAAGGTGACCAAGTTTTGTGTGCTTGCACCCTTGATGGTTCCACGGGCAGCATTTGGCGTCTTCGAGGGTGCCATATCTAACCCCAAAAGGTGAGTAGCAGGACAATGCGTTGCGGACAATGCATACCTTGGGCTTTCACAGCTGTTTCGCGGAAAGGGACAATTGGTTTAGATGCCTGAATCTCCACACGAGCAAATCTCTCGCGCAAATCTTTCAGACATCTCTGTGAATAGATTGAATGAAAGTAGAAGGCAGTGAGCAATTAAATCATACCTCTAAGTGTAACTCTCCTGCGGTGAGAATCACATGTTCTCCAGTCTGTTGCTGGAATGTTTCAACGCAGGGATCAGCTTGAGCGAGGAGCTTCATCCCGGCGACAAGTTTTGGCATATCAGAAGGGACAACAGGTTCAAGCGCAACTCGCACTATAGGGGATACCTATGATAAAAATATGATTAGCAGTAAAATCAAAATACTCGTGTGACACTTACCGTGCGAGCAACACCGCCAATATTAATGAGACTTTCATGCACCTGTGCAGGATCCGCGCTCTCCAGAATGCCTATGCTTTGTGGTGCACAAAGTGTGGCATTTCTGTACACTTTGCCTCCCAGTCCCTTGATTGCGAAGGTATTGCCTGCCCTGACACTGTCCACAGGGATAAGCTCCCGGCCCATCATCACGTACAATCCTTCGACCTTGGCCGGAATAAGATGCGCAGCGTTATGGGCGTGATTTGGAGGAAGGGAGGTATTGTACTTGGGCAGCACGCAGTATATGGTGGAGTTGGCGCATATCGTTCCTGAATACAGTCGTGCGAAGCCGAGGATTATTTCAGACTCTTCAGAAACGTCCAACATCTCTCCTGAAGCCACACTAGGAGATTCTGAGGGTGCACGGGGAGGATCCGGAGTCTCTGAGACTGATACGCCGTTATCCCGTGCTTCTTTGGCATCTCGAGCCCGTTGGCGTAGCTCGTCCGCTGTCACAGCCCGTTTCTTGTTTTCCGGAAGTTCTTTGGCTGCAACAGCGAACGTTTTGCTTACATATGCAACAACGACCGCGTCTGGCGCGAAGTTGGATGTGAAAAGATCCTGCTCTAACTTATTCTTGGGCTGTATGCTCTTGTCGAACACATTAGGATAAAGCATTTTGGGGATACGAATTGCCTGAGCAACAGGAGGAGACGGAACGACATCAATAGTCGCCTGAATGATGCATGTAGATAGTGGAAGCCATTGTGTAAAAATCGTGGACAGCAACTGCCGACTGTCTTTCGACCTCAGATCCCGAGGTAAAATCTTCAGATTAAGAGCAGTTACAATCTTGGTTACTTTCTCTGTGTTCCTAGAGATTTATTAGCATACCATGTGGCATCATATGAAAAGATGATGAATGATTACGGGTTCACCACAACGGCATCGTAGACCGCCCAGATGTTCTCCAACACAAACTGGACAAACAATGGCTTTAATGTGCGTCCGCGGAGATGCTTGTGACTGATAACTTTCTTGGTTTTGGGATCGAGATAGAAGTCTCCCCACAAAACGCGCCTTAGATTAGCTTCCTTGAAACCGAGCTTTGCAGAATAAAGCTGGGCAAAGTTTCCGACTCTAAAACCCCAACCATCAATGGCAGACGCAAAGACTACATTACCCCGCTCCGGCGCGAAGTAGAGATCTTCGTCGTCTTTCTCCTTGAAGTCATCCGTGACATTGGCGGATGCCTCAGCTTCATCTGCAAGTTGTTCCTTCTTTTCGGCAAGCCGTCGATCGCGCTCTTCCCTCCATCGGAGGTCGTCCTCCATCAATTCACTTGCAAAAAAACTGCCCATAACAGCATTAACTTGTTCAATCAGCCGCGAAAGGTGCTGGTAAGCTTCGGTGGGCACCAGCTTCAGCTCCGTGATGAGCCTATCCATTTTATTGATCACGAGAATCGGGCGGAGGTTATCCTCCCATGCCTGTCTAAGCACAGCAATAGTCTACGCAACTGTGATTAGATGTATTATATGTCATCGACAGACTTACCCACCTGCGTGCACACGCCTTCAACTACATCAACAAGGACCAACGCACCATCACACAACCGAGACGCTGTGGAGACTTCGCTTGAGAAATCGACATGTCCTGGGGTATCGATCATATTCACGATATATGTCTTTTGGGACCTTTCTGGGCATGATTATTACTATTCCTTGGCATGTGCATCTTGGTGAGATAGGTACCTTCGCCAGATCGGCCCATGACCTGAAACTTGAGCGATACTGCGCTGCTTTCCATTGTGATCCCGCGCTCTTGCTCATCCTCTCTACTATCAAGAAACCTCAGTTTCCCCGCCATCCGATGAGAAATAATGTTGTTTGCCGCGAGAAGGGCATCCATCAATGTAGTCTTTCCGTGATCGACATGCCCAAGAGTCGTGATTATTCGAACGTTGGCTGGGTCTGGGGCCTCCATCGATGTACCTGTTGATTCCATATGTACACCTACGTGAGTAAGAAACTGCGTACGAACCGTGCGTGGTCTTTAGAATTGATGATCGCTTTAAAATATCCATGAAATGACTCGCCCGGGCCGGTGCATCGTCGGAAGCGAGTTGTATCAACCGGATAAGGAAATCGCGAAGCGCTTGCATTACATAGTTAAAAGCCGAGCCCTACTCTACTAGTAGCAATCTCTTGAGGCTCTGTCTAACTGACTCGTCTAAGCCCTTCCCGATCAACACCAACTTCCCTGAATCTGGAATACCTGTAACATCCCCTTCCACTAACGATAGGTCATACATACTCTGCACGCCCTGCAGAACATACTGCTCCCCAGATTCCACCACGAAAAGACCTTTACAACGAAGAACCTTCAGTTCCGATAGTCCAGTCTGACAGACATTGTCTGGGATTCGATTCTCCCACAGAACCGTACGGATCCACTCGTCTAGTTGTTGAAGACGATGGCGGCTTAACATAGGAAGAGTGACCTGTAGACTAGATATGCCACGTAATTCGTAGTGCTTGGCGGAGACGGTGTTTGCTGCGTGGTCATGACTGTCATCGTTATTATGTTGGTGTTGTACAGATTGCAACCCATTTCTTCCCCCTGCGTATGCATTGATGTTCATGATATGCGCTAGATCAATCTGACCGCGAATGGTTCGGTGAATCGGAGCGGATGGATTAACCCTTTGGATGAGTTCTTCAGTCGAGCGCAATCGCTCTTCTGATGTCAGATCCACTTTGTTCAGCAAAATAACATCGGAGCATGCGATCTGTCTGGAAAGGCTGTAAGTCACGAACCAGATTCAAGACGTGGTCCACAATTACCTGAGGCTTTCGCCAATGCCGTCGACAGAATTATCTTCTTCCATTTGCTAGGTTACGATTTAGCGGAGGAACTTGCACAAATCACAAAAAACATCTATGTACCTGTTGACCAAAGACAGCGTCAACGACACAAATCACACCATCCAGTGAAATCTGTCGACCTAAACCAGCGGCATACTCCTCATTAAGCCAGAACATGGATGCGATAGGGCCTAGGAGACAACAAAAGTCATATGTAAAACATCGAGAACGAATCATAGACTGCTTACCAGGATCAGCAAGGCCAGTAGTCTCTAGTAGGATGTGGTCAAAAGCACCTTTCCTTTGCATAAGTTTCTCAATGGCAGCTACACCAGCGTCTTTGATAGAACAACATAGACATCCATTTGCCAACTCAAGGAGCTCCTGTGACTTCTCTGCTGTTGGGTCATCTTCCGAAGAGATATTGATAGTTTTAGCTAAACTTAATGTTAGTGAAGGTTTTCCACCCGTCAGGATAGTAACAGAAACCTTCGATGCTCTTCCGACGAATGTTGAATAGACGTAATTATGAGTAGATTAAATAATTGCTCACTGAAGTATCACCAAATTCATTCATAATCACAGCTATTCGATACCCGTGACGCTCTGTCAGAATACGCCTAATGATTGATGAGGCAGGTGCATTGTGCGTGTGGTGCTGCGTACCTCAGCAGGGTGGACTTCCCCGCCCCAAGAAAGCCACTAATGATTGTACATGGTACTCGACGAGTTGAGGCAACATCAGGCATGGGCGCTTTATCTTCATGCTCGATCAACGTGCTTGTAAGCAGAAATATTAGCAATGCAAACGAGCGACAGACTAAAACATACCGCGAACATACGGTATATCATCATCGAAGTCCATGACTTTGATCTTGGATACTCTAACTTTGGGACTCGCTCTAAGTGACGGAGTATAACTGAACTCATATATTGAGCAAAGAGGACGCTCGTGTATGTGGAGATGTGACTTACTGGTGGAGCGGATTAATGTTGTACTAGAACGAAGGCGGGAGCAAAACTCGGCGATGTGACCATACTGCTTCCGAACATTATTATGGAATACTAGTATGCTCTCGGCTTGTTCTTGCTCTCTGTTTTATGGCACACTAGTACTCACTCATGTCTTTTCCATCCACTATGTCAACTCCTTCGAGTAGCATGTTTCCTCTCACAGATGAATCCCTCAAAAACCTGATCCAGGGACCAGGAGATGTGGAGTGGAGGTATGCGCCGTACACGTTCTTGCGCCACGGCTATGAATGTACTCCATTTACCAGGTATGAAATGCGTCGGGAATGTCAAGAGATCATTCCTGGCCTTTTATTAGGTCCTTTCCAAGCATCAAAGTCGCTCGAGGTGCTCAATTCACTTGGCGTTACTCACATGTAGGTTCAAACCCTATTTGAATCAACGATCCAACTGATTAATCGACGCGTCTCTTATTTTATTTCCTAAAATTATATCACAAGACTCTGTATACGCGATAAGAAGGAAGCATTTTCCGTGAAACCACGTTTCCCTGAACGTTTCGAGTACCTCGTATTGGACGTGGAGGATAATGAAGACCAAAACGTCATTCGTCTGTTCCCGCAGTGTGTATTTATTGCATGATGTTCCGTGAACATGCTAACAGTCAGCTAGAGCTCATAATTTTATTACCGAATCATTGAATAGAAAGGGTACCGTTCTAGTTCATTGCAACGGTGCGCTCTGCGCTTGATTGTTTGCAGTGCCAACTCAGTCCATTGACAATACAGGCGGAATATCCCTTTCACCTGCTTTTGTTGTCATGTTCGTCATGCGTCGTTGTCATTTATCATGGGAGGATGCTCTTCACCTTGTTCAAAATCGACGTTACTGTATCTCACCAAACGGTGGCTTCTTGACACAGATCAAGGTGAGTTTTGTGTCCCTGAGCTTGGTCGGCTGTGCATTCCTGTGCCTCGAGCCTTTGCCTTGTACTGCAACGAGGAACTTTAGGATCTTATGTTGTGCCCCAGGAATACGAGTCGATATACAAGGCATCCGTAGCTGTTGCCGGTTTTCCGCAAGGGCAGATGCAAAGAGTTGTCTCCCGGAGGAAGAGAGATGACGACGATGACGAGGAATTCAGGTGTGTCACATCTCTGGAGTATCCCCTATTCTTCGTGTCCCTTAAGTTTAACAACCCATCAGAGAGGAAGATCGTAAAAGGGCATTAGTCGACGGAGAAGGGGACGACGCAATGGCAACAGATCTATGACCGTACTTTCTTGGAGCTTTCTTCATTTCCTTTGGTTCAATTTTGTCTACCACTACTGTATACTTGCTTTTAAAAGTATGTCGTGTTATCATGATGAATGGTATAAGTTCAGCTGGGGTCCAATATGACCCAGTTGTCAACTGAGTATGATCTATAGTGACTTGATCTTAGCCTTCTCTTTCTCCTGTAAAACTCGCTTTGCATGGACCTCTGAATAAAGTAATCAGACATAAGGCATTTGCAGCAACAAGGCTCTGACCTTTGCGTTTTACCCACGCCTCAACCGAGATGCCCCCAAACACAATGCCTGCGCCTGCCCACTGCCCGAGGGTGAGTTTGTGGTCGTAAACTATCACAGAGAGAACCATGGTGAACATCTTTCTTGTCAACGTAATCATTCTGTGATTTGTGTGAGGAAAAGGCGTGACAAAACCCCAGAAAAAGGTCACGAACACTAAAGTCAGCGATCCAAAATGCTGTAGGGTCTCGAAGATGAACAGCTGTCCAAGAGCGCCAGTCAAAGAAAACTGGACTAGTGGTATGATGACAGAAGGATGAGTCCTTATAAACCCAATTGCGTTGGCAAATTCTGATTGTAAACCGCTCGAGGGGTGAAGCACAGGGATGTGCGGCAAGGGAAGTGTTCCAAGCGTCGTAGTCAACAGCGTGCAGAATAGATTGATCCAGAACATCATCTGCTGTCCGGTCACCTTGTACCGAGCGAACATCTCATCTTGCGTTGAGTTCACCGCACCATCGAGAATAAGGTTGATGACAAGGTAGAGAATGCCAATCAGCTGGCTATAAGATCCCTGCTCGCCATTGGACGAGGCTTTTGATGGCTTTTCATTCCCGAAGCCCATGAAGACACTGATTCCGGCTGTGACCATGGCGACTACGATGTACTTGTGTGGAGCAAAACGCCTCCTGTACATGACAAAATTCATGAGCATCACTGGGACGAGCTTGCAGGACTTCCCCAAGACCATTGTAGGATAAGTTATATACGAGAGGGCTGCGAAGCCAAATGGAGCGGCGAGTGTGATAAAAGCCGATACTTGGAGGTAGCGCAACAGGAGAGCTTTGGTTGTGGACGAAGAAGTATGCGAATGCGCGTTTGAGGAATGGGCATGACCATTTATTTTAGTGCTCGGAGATCCGTTTGTCGTGGAATTAGATGAACTGTTCGTTTGTGCCATGGAGCCAAGGTCTAGACCCAGTAGAGACGATAATGATGAGCCCGATATTCCACGGATGATTATGTATGCAAGGGCAGACAGCGAGCTGAGGAAACTCTGACAAGTCCCAAGGAAGAGTGCAGACTTGAACTTGTCTGTTGATTGTCCGTCTATGTGTTGGAACGGGACTGATACTAAGAGGCCGTCTTAGTTCATGAGTTAGTTAATTTTTATACGTTGTACCTACGTCGTTCCTGCGCCACAGCCCACAGCTGAGCATAACGCTGGTGAGCAGCTGTCTTTCGTCAGAACTAGTGGAATTAGCATACTAGAAACATGGAGTAGACTCCGAGAACACATAGTCCAAGCCTAGCGTTCAAAGCTCATAAACACGGATGCAGGTTCTTTCAGTGAAAGAGCTCACCGAAGGACCGACATTGTGCAGTGGACACACAAGGTAGTAAAGGTGATGTTGTTGGATAAGTTTGAGTGTATTTACTAAGTTAACATTGTATGTGTACGTGTCATTGTAACCCTGACCCTAAACTAGGGTGTGATATGCAAACCCAGCTGGTCGCTCAGCGTTAGAACACCCTCCTTCAAACGAATCACGTCCTCTTTAGTTGGCCTACCCTGCGATGGTTTACTTGTAGCGCCAGCAGTCAGCCTTTGTAGCATATCTTCTAACCCCTCCATCTCTCTCTTCTGCAAAAGTTCCTCACTCTGTCCGATTGGATCATCGTTTGCATCAAGATGCTCTCTGGCGTGTTGCACTGCTTCCTGATCGACAGGAACGATATCTGAGAAGCGAACGCCTGCGAGCGAAGATGATATCGTGCGTGCCGTTGTTAGAGTTGTCGAGTCTTTTTGGTTTTTTGAGCTCAAAAATGATGTGATCGCAGAGATTACGCCACGCATTGATCCCAAATCACGGCCTATCGGAACTCCTACATGCGCAAAACCGGCGTCGAAACCCTCTTGAAGTGCGGATTCCTTGCCTACGATTATCCCTTCTCGGTATCCAGACTACAGATGGAGATTATGTTAGTGAGGGAAGAAAGAATCATGAGTGTGTACAGTACGTTTGTGAACTCATTACAGAGTTTTGACCAGTCTGCTTCAAGAGCATAATCTGCTGGTGGGTCTTCCTCCCAAGGTGAATCCATGCTAGTGGTAGCGATGGTCCTTCTGAATCCGATCAATCGGAGTGATTAGTTAAGACAGGCTGTGACTTGAAATACCGGTTGTGACAAAAATATTAAATATTTCAGGCTTCCGCCGGGTATTGCTCTCACATGATGATGCGATCAACAAGTAGTCAACTTAGCGCTGTTTTGCTTTGAAACAATGCCCATATAATCCCCGCTAGTGGTTTGAAATGCTGACTAATTAGTGCGGATTCAGACAGTGCGTGGGAAATTAAAATTAAATACATACGCCACGTCGGCATTGCATCGCTGTGCTTCTTGGCCTTTAACGACCCTTCCTGTTCTTCCAGAGCTTGGTTTCTTTCTCTCCACTACAATTATTCCCTCTAGGTTTCGTCCACTAATGGCTGTCGCGTCCTCCTCGGACGTCGCAATACTTGCGCTAGGCGTGGTCCTAGCTGCTGCATATCTTTTTCGTGATTCAATATTCTCTTCCTCGTCTCCCAAAGCAGTACCGGTTGCCCCCTCGAAACTTGCCAATGGCCATGGAAACCCCCGAGATTTTATTGCTAAAATGAAGGAAGGGGTAAGCCATCAACTTACAAGCTTCATTATCCCATCAATCTATCATATCTCTCATATTCTTGTCAGAAAAAACGTCTCATCATATTTTATGGTTCGCAAACTGGTACTGCCGAGGAATATGCAATCCGTATCGCCAAAGAGGCAAAAACCAAGTTTGGACTCACATCTCTCGTCTGCGACCCCGAGGAATACGACTTTGAGAATCTAGATCAGATCCCCGAGGATAGTTGTGTTATTTTTGTCATGGCTACCTATGGCGAGGGTGAACCCACCGATAACGCAGTTCAGCTCATGGAAAACTTGACCGATTCTGCATTTGAGTTCAGTAACGGTCAACATAAGCTCGAGGGCCTTAAATATGTTGTTTTTGGTTTGGGCAACAGGACTTACGAACACTACAATGCCATAGCACGTCAGGTAGATGACGAACTCACGAAAATGGGCGCAGTCAGGATCGGCGAGCGCGGTGAGGGAGACGACGATAAAAGCATGGAAGAGGACTACCTAGAATGGAAGGACATTTTTTGGCCTGCATTCGCTGAAGCTTTGGGTGTAGAAGAGGGTCAGGGTGGTGATACCCCAGATTTCGCTGTTACTGAATTAGAATCGCACCCTCCGGAAAAAGTTTATCTCGGTAAGCACCCGCTGTGCATTTTTATACGCCTCTCATTCTGGTCTGTAGGCGAACTTTCTGCACGCGCCCTCACAAAGACTAAAGGCATCCATGATGCTAAGAACCCGTACGCCTCTCCGGTCAAGGTATCTCGCGAACTTTTCCAAGTTGGTGGAGATCGTAACTGCGTACATGTCGAGCTTGACATAGAAGGTTCTGGCATCACATACCAACACGGCGATCACGTCGGCATCTGGCCCATCAACCCTGACGTCGAGGTCGACCGTCTCCTGTGTGCACTTGGACTCTTTTCCAAGAAAGATACCGTTATAAACGTCGATTCGCTCGACCCTGCTCTTGCCAAGGTTCCATTCCCTGTCCCTTCAACCTATATCAGCGTCCTCCGCCACTATATTGACATCAGTGCTGTCGCCGGTCGTCAGATTCTCGGTGCTCTTGCCAAGTTTGCTCCATCTCCTGAGGCTGACGCGTTCATGCGTAACCTTACCTCCAATAAGGATGAATATGCAGCTATTGTCACGAATGGATGTTTAAAGCTTGGCGAAGTCCTTCAACTGGCCGCAGGCAACGACATTAGCGCCCACCCCACGCCTCAGAACACCACTGCCTGGGCTATCCCCTTTGATATTGTCATCTCATCAATTCCTCGTTTGCAACCCCGCTATTACTCTATCTCGAGCAGCCCCAAGCTCAACCCTACCTCAGTGCACGTGACGGCTGTTGTTCTCAAATACGAGTCAATTGTCAACAAACTGGTTGCCTCTCGTTGTATACATGGTGTTGGCTCAAACTTCTTGCTGAATGTCAAACACGCCGCTAATGGCGAGACCGCTGCTGCTAGCGAGGGACTTGAGCATGTATCGCTGCCGGCGTATGCCATCGAAGGTCCCCGCGGGGCACACAAGTCTGAGGATGTTTACAAGATTCCTGTCCATGTTCGCCGTTCTACCTTCAGGTTACCGACAAACCCCAAGAGCCCTGTCATCATGGTTGGACCTGGCACTGTGAGTCTATCTGTTAGAGTATTTTGTAACCTTTCGCTCACGGGTATGCACAGGGTGTTGCGCCATTCCGAGGATTCATCCAAGAACGTGTCGCTCTTGCCCGCCGAACACTTGAGAAGAATGGTGATGATGCTCTGGCAGATTGGGGTCAAATCTCACTATTCTATGGTTGTCGTAAGTCAACGGAAGATTTCCTCTACAAAGACGAGTGGCCACAATACACTGCCGAGCTGAAGGGCAAGTTTACGATGCACTGCGCATTTTCGCGGGAGCCACCGTACAAGCCTGATGGAAGCAAGATCTACGTGCAGGATCTTATTTGGAACGACCGCAAGAATATCGCCGACGCCATCCTGAATGGGAAGGGATATGTGTACATTTGTGGTGACGCCAAAGCGATGAGCAAGGCAGTGGAGGAAGTTCTTGCGCGGATTTTGGGTGAAGCGAAGGGTGGGAATGAGGCAGACGGCGCGGCTGAGATCAAGCTGATGAAGGAACGCTCGCGGCTCATGTTGGATGTCTGGAGCTAAAGCGTATCCTTGGTTTGGGTTGCTTATCTGCCAACTCATGACACGTCGACACGCTGCGACACGACACTGATATTATATTGCAATAGATTTATGTAAACTGAACGAATATTTGTCGTTTCGTTGCAAGTTGCACTCTTGTAGCTTATTTGTTGATGGCCGATTGGTCTTCTAGACCTGATAGAATAATTGTTGAAAAAGCTTCAGGCGCTAGTCAGATCTATCGTTTGTCGGCGCGGCTCGGAACAGTGTCACGATCTATTGCTCAACATCATGCTGCGGAGTAGAGCATGGAGACCAATGAACAATCTACGCACATTCTCTCGTTCATGTCTGCGCCCTAACTCGCAATCAACTAGTTCTCTGTCTCCCGGGCCATCAAATGTTGGCTCGCAAACCCAAACCCACCAGGAAACTCATGCTAACGTGGGCGTTAGACATCTACCCGGAGCTCAGCCTGCTGGTCCAAAAGTTCAGCCTGCCGACTCTTCTGGACGACTCAACTCCAAGATATCCGCATACGATATAGACACCATCAAACAGCGCATTGGAGATTGGATGGCACTTGCAACTGCTGGATTCAAGCAGCAAACGAGCGGACTCCGTCAATGCACAGATGAGTTCACGCGGAAGACGTCCACAAAACTTTTTCAATTAGGCTCTCAACTCAACCGCGTGACGGGCTACGAGGAGATTGATGCGCTCAAACAACGTGTAGTCGAGCAAGGTGTGCTGCATTCCCTTACTGTGTCTGTGCTACAGCTGAGACTTATGTTGACCAAGAGGCTAGAATCAAGGCTACTCGTCAAGCAGCTCGAGAAGCTAAGACAGCATATGACGATGCTGTCCTACAACGCTCTCTATCCCAGCGCCAAGTGAATGAGCTCTTGCAGCGTAAATCTTCGTGGACAGACGCCGACGTCAACGCCTTCACTTCTCTTGTGCGTTCAGATCATCAACTGGAACAACACGAGGTCGTGACGAAGGCCAAGGTCTCCGAGAATGATGATGCGTTGGACAGAGAATTTGGTGAGCTCATGCGCGCCATTCTAGCTAGGTACCACGAGGAGCAAGTGTGGAGTGACAAGATCCGAAGTGCGAGTACCTATGGGAGTATGATGGTGCTTGGGGTCAATGTGGTAGTGTTCATACTGGCGATCATGGTGGTTGAGCCATGGAAAAGGCGGAGACTAGCGCAAACGTTTGAAAAGAAGGTCGAAGAAATGGCTGCGGAGACCCAAGCTTTGATAGAGTCTGGAATTGCGAAATTGGATGAGCGGTTGGTAAAGCAGGAGGGATTGACCTCAGAGATTGTGGAAAGGGCGGCGTACGATGCTCGAGACCTGTCTAGCGAGTTTCTGCCAGTGCCAGCTGTGACAGTATCTGTCGCTGGGGAACAAGTGGTCACTGGACCAGAGCACCCGTCAATATGGTCGCATCAGGTATCACGAATGATTCAAGACCGGGAGGTGCTGCTTGTTGTGGGCAGTGCTATTGCAGGTGGTGCAGTCACTCTTATAGCCCGAAATCTTTTCGGAAGTTAGTTAGTATTTTTTGCATACCTAGCATGCGAGCCGACTCCTCCCACCTGAATCTCATAGTTAGTACCTAGCCATTTACCTGCAAGCCCCATTCCGGATAATAGGGGCCGCTTTAGAAGCTCACGTGATTTAACCTTGGCTTTTCATGGGTGTAGTTGGTGGCTGTGCTAGCTGTACAATTCACCATGAAGGTCGTTACCACATTTCACCAAGCATCATCTGTCGTAGATTCGCTCAAATTTAGGTTGATGAATGAGCAGCCCTCAGAGTTTCTTGTCATTGCAAAGTCAAATAGGCTTGATATCTATGCGCTGCTTCCAGAAGGGCTCCGTCACCAACAGGGTTTTGATATCTGGGGAAGAGTCAGGGTTATAAGAGCTGTGCCAGTCTTGGTGAGCAAAAACCTGCGAGAAACACATTTGTAGTATCATATTAAGATTATGGAACTCGTTTTCTAGAGCAGAAGCAGTATCAGCCTGCTTGTGCTTACTGATCACCCGGAGCCAGAGCTCATATTCTTATCTTTCACTGTGAATGGCGCAGGATCAACGGGGATCACTGTCACAAAGTATCTCTCATTGTCTGAGCGCAGTGCTCGGCCAGCAGAATTTTGCCACACTCTTCTAGTCGATCCTTCAGGGGGTGTGGCTGTCGCGAGTGCGTACACAGGCAAACTCAAGGTCGTGGTGCTTGACCAAGACGGAGGATATGACCGTGACTTTGATGCATCGTATGTAGTGGCATTTTTTGCGCTAATTGTGCTCACTCTTTTCCGTCAGAATAACTGAGCTTAACCTTCTGGATATCACCTTTGTGTCAACTTCTCGGGATATGTATACCTTAGCAATGATGCACATTGACTACCAACAACGCATCCAACTTCTTGCTCGTGACCTTTCTATTGAGGACCTTCAGCTTTCTACGTTACCCTCCCCTCTCCTCCCCTCACTCCCTGTCCCAGGCAAATTATTCAGTACAGCTATGGACGACGACGGAACTCCAGCCATCACACATATCCCCTCCTACAAGGTCGACGACAATGATTTCGAAGGTGGTATTCTTATTATCGGTGGGCGAAAGATCATACTGTATGATTTTGTAGACGTCGAAACGCGGGCTAAGAGGGGGAGCAAGAAGAAACGTGCAGATAAGAAGAAAAATACTGGAGATGCAGAAGCAAATGCTAAAGAGAAGGAGATGGAGTGGAAGAAGAGGAAAGCCAGGGCTACAGTAGAATGGCCATGGGCAGAAATCACTGCGTGAGTTCCATTCGTAGGACCGAGGCTGCAGGCTCACCTAATGTTAGATGGTGTCATGTCGACAACAAGCGGAATTACTTGATTGGGGACCGCTATGGAAAGCTCGCGTTGCTTTCGATAAACCTTTCTGGAGGCACAACGCTGACGTTGATGGCACTTGGGGAGGTAGGTCTGCTCAAGTCCCGCTGGTCATTCTTGTTCTGATTGTGTTCACTAAGACATCTCCATCAACCACATTGACTTACCTTGCTAATCAAGTTTTCTACAATGGTTCGCACTTTGGTAGCTCGCAATTACTCCAGATTACCACCACTCCATCTTCTGCGTTCGACGCCCCTACATTGCCTGTTCCATCCACGATACCGACCATCAGTCCTAATGCACTCAACTCCCATGTGTCAGGTAGAAACATCGATGTATCAGGATACATTGTCGCTGGAATGGGGAGTTACGTCACTGAGCTGGAGTGTTTCAGCAACCTCGCTCCGATACTTGACGCTGTGTTGATTGACACGGATGGTAGCGGACAGGTATGTTGAATAACTGTATACTCACTTCAGACGCTAAAGTGATGCAGAACGAAATTGTAGCATGCACTGGTGGCAGAAGCACGGGGAGCGTCAAAGTCATACGGAGTGGCGCTGACTTTTCTGAGAAAGCGATAGTTCAGGGGCTCGGGAATGTCACCAATATCTGGCCATTGAAAGTGACGTACCGTGCACCGTAAGTTTTTCATTTGTTTTGACTTCTTAGAACGCTGATGATATAATTAAGCGATTATGCACATATCGTGGTCTCAACTCTGCAGGAAACGCACATTTTTCGTTTTGACAACGCTTCATCAATCTCCAGCATTGACGGTGACAAGAACACTGGTTTTATCACCGATTTACCTACCATCGCAGTCTCGAATGTCCTTCGACGCACGTGCAATGCGGACAATAAGTCCGACTATGCAGATTCTAGTTACGTCATACAGGTCGTCTCAAAGGGCCTGCTATTACTTGAGTATGACCCTGACGTGCGACAGTACTCGAGAATTGGTGAACTATGGACCCTGGAAAAATTTGCGGATCCTAGTAAGGAGGGACTGTGGAAGGGGCGAGAGATCGTAGCTGCAAGTATCAACGCCAGCCAGGTTGTGCTTGCACTCAACTGGGGGAGGGTGGTGCTGCTGACTCTGGATGATAAGCGATTTATCAAGCTGAGGTAAGTATGAGCACCTAGATGAAGATTTGATTGATTGTTGTGCATTATTGCAGGGAACGCAACTTTGTGCACAATAATTGTGATGCAGAGATTTCAGCAGTCTCGTGTCTTCCGCAGGATCCAGCCAAGCGCTTCACGTTGAATATCGTGGTCGGATTCTGGACATCTAAGCACGTCGAGATACTCTCCCTGAGACCTGCAGATGGAACCATGCCCACGATTGCAACGACCCCTATACTCCCTTCTGCACCCCGCTCACTGCTGTTGTACAATTTCATGTCTGATGACCTCAAGTTCTCAAATGTACATCTACTCATCGGACTCACGAATGGTTCTATCGCGTCATTTTTGTATCGAAATGACCAATTACTTGACCAGAAATTGGTTTCTGTCGGAAGTCTGCCCGTGACAATACGTTCGTGTCAGATTGGTGCGAGACAAACAGTCCTTGCATGTGGAAGCAGGACTGTAATTTTATTCTGGGAGAAAGAGAGGTTGATGTATTCGCCACTTATACTCAAGGTCTGTGATACTTTTCGCGCCATTGTTCTTGACCAACGAGTTTGTAGGATGTAACAGCTGCAGCGGAATTGACTACAAGTGCTTACCCATCGTCGATAGTCCTTGCCAACACTGATGGCCTGGTCTTCGGGAACGTGAACAACTTCGATAAATTACATATTCGCTCTGTAGGCCAAGGGACTTGTCTTCTATCGGATTCCCGCTGACAGTTAGTTCTCAGATACACCTCGGCCTCAACAATCCATTACGCGTTACCCATATTCCTGCGCTTAGAGTTTTTGCCGTCGCATGTCGTTGCATAACCCCGGCTCGCATCGGAGATGTGGAGGATATCAACGGCTCCATACAAGTCTTTGACGACATATCGTTTAATAGTAAGTTAAGTTCAACACACAAGATGTTATTGATGATATGACATAGAGCTCGGGCATTTCAATCTGGAGCCAGGCGAGGAACCGACGTCACTGCTGTCCTTCACAACAAATTCCGGGTCGTATCTATGTGTGGCAGCAGCAACACTTGAAGATGAAGACACCGAAGCCTCCAAGGGACGTATTTTTATTTTGGAAACGATGTCGAACGCATTGCAGGTGAACATGTCTGTCGTGACTTCGTATGACGTCAAGGGATGCCCCTACGCATTGACTTCCGTGAATTCTATGATCACTGCGGCAGTTAATAACATGGTAACGGATAAAGCCTATGAGCCATATACACAGCTGCTTATTTTCCCCGCAGGTCGTTGTCTTCAAGATGGACACAGAAGGTGGAAATACGACAATGGCAAAAATAGCAGCCTGGAACCACAACTATTTAGTGACAAGTCTCGCATCTCGCGGCGACATCATTCTGTTAGGTGACGCAATTAGCTCGATCTCGATGTTGCGTCTCGAGGACAACCGACTGCACTTGATTGCCAGAGACTATGGCCCACTATGGCCCACCTGTGTCGAGCTCATGACTAACTCCACCTTGATTGGTGCGAATGTAAGCTGAGGTCCATTGTTTGACGTCATGCACTTATTCTGTTGTGCTTAGAGTGAATACAACCTTTATACATTCAGTCTCCAGAACTCGGGTACGCGGGAGCTTCTGGAGAGAGACGGGAATTACTTCCTTGGGGACTTGGTCAACAAGTTCCTGCCTGGTACGTGTGCCCTTTATCGTAACTTTCCCATGCTCACGCGTATTAGGCACACTGTCGTCTCAGGAAGTTTCACTCGACTCGCCGATGCAGCCCCAACAGTTGTTCTTCACATCTGCTGGTCTTATTGGTGTGATTATTGATCTTGCCGATGACCTTGCCTTGGACCTCACTGGCCTTCAACGGAACCTGTCCAACTATATCCAGTCACAGGGAGGGCCAAATCACACAAAGTGTGCCATGAGCCGTTGCTTTCAATAATCACTCAATCCACTTTACACACAGGTACCGCGCGCCAAAGAATGTCCGCGGCCGCAGTGACGCAGATGCGTCGTCTTTCGGGTTCCTTGATGGCGACTTCCTCGAGCGCTTCTTGCAGTTTGTGGGAAACCCCCAGGCGCTGAAGCAGATTATGGATGGACAAAGTGAGCCCGAAAAACTCACGATATCGGCAGACAGGATTCAGAAGGTTCTTGAGAGCATGCAAGGCATGCATTGATCGAGTGAGGGGATTAAACAAAATTGTAATTTGATCACTCTACACCAACTCTCTACTTCATTAACCATCGAATCAAAACATGCCACAATGTATCAGTATTGGTGCCAAGCGAATGCGAGTACCCTCTGAAGATATAAATCGACGACTACTAGTAACTATGTGATTGTTATATCAAACGAACGGATGGTGAGTAGAAGGTGAGAAGTTAGCCGCATGGTCATGGTACTCGTCTTCCTACGACCAGAGGGCCGCATACAGTTGTGAGACGACAGAGAGAGCCTCGACATGCCCAGCCACAACAACATCTTCGTGGTCATTAGAGTTGCGTGGAGCGAAATAAAATCCAGAAACAAGGACAACGTAGCTGTGACACGTCAACATGACGTACAATATAATCTAAGGTAAATACTTACCTCAAAATAAGAATACTTCCACGGTGGTAATTACTCTTGGCCTCGATATAGGTATAGGTCATCAGAAAGACCGATAAGATGATCGCAATGACATCCCAGCGCGGGAATACGAGCCTGGTGAAATATAAGGGTGAATGAATTTAACCTCGATAATATCAAGAGCATGTTTTGATACGCACGTAAATGCATTTGCGATCTCACCCATTTTGTCGGGCGCATACCAGGCGGAGAACGCAACCATGGCTGGTATCTGGAGCAGACAGACCTGTAAGGCATAGGCAGAGCCAATCTCAACACTGGGAAAGGATGATCACAAGCGGAGTGTGGTCAGGTATGAAGGGAAACAAACAGGCTAAAGAGTACCTTAGCGAGATATTTCCGTTCAGGGCAAACGATATAGCATTCATGAATTCCGTGGTATTGGGCACCAGCGCAAACAAAGTGATTCCCAAGAACTTCTCCTCGATCCCAGAGTCTTTCAGTACAACATCCACCATATCCACAAGGAGTTCTAGTGCCCCGATCGATCAGCGAGCACAACAAAATCGGCAATGAAAATGCAGACGTACCAGCAATAAGGGCATATAAAGCTGTACATGACAGCAACACTGCTGCACTCGTTATGCGGCTCCACTCTGGCGCCTCATGCCCGTGAGCCGATGCATGTTCCTCCTCAGCCACACTTGCCCGGGCCGCCCGGGTATGCGCGTGCTGGTGGCGAAGGGCACTAACAGTCGCGACAGCTACTGCACGCGTAAAATCATCGGTGGACATAGTAGAGGGCAGGGGCAGAGCACCAGTAGACTTGATGGCATGGTCAACAGATTCAAGAAGGGGTGTGTATTGTGTTTGAGATTGTGCGCTTTGGGGAGTAGTGTGCGGGACGTAGGAAACACGTCTAAGCAACGAAGAAGAAGTGGGAGACGCTGTATTCGCTGTTGGAACAGTAAGCCGTGGGGCTGGGGTCTGAAACCGGGGATCATCCTCCAGTCGCGTTCGTTCATGGGACCCCTCTGGTCGTAGACGTGGCTCGCGAATAATCGGTGGAATCTGCGACGGCGGGGATTGCGCTGTACTGACTGTGGTTGCATTGGAGTGAGGACGGTGATGTTGGTAGAGCGAGAGACGAGATGGATGCGTGGTTGGAATGTCGAGGGGCTGTAGGAGCGGTTGTGGGTTCTGCCATATCTGAGTGGCATGTGTGCGGAGAGAAAACCACAGGCCTATCAAATATGACTACGGCGAGTATGAATGGTGTATACATCAAAATAGAGAAGGGGACTCACAAACAGTAAAATTACGGCACAAAAGTACATGAGGCTCTTCACTGTAGACTGATAAAATGGATCTTCAACAGGGTCGGGGTGTTGATAGTAACACTGGTCGCATTTCCACTCAGACGAGCGATGGGAGCCGTCAGGACATCCGCTACAAATTAGCTGGAACTTTAAGCAAGTCAATATGTGTTTGCTGCCGGAAAGAAACATAAAAGGAGTAAAACACGTACACTCCCATATGTTTGATAGAACAATGTCGGTGTTAGCGTTCCAATAAATGCCATTATTAACATCATGCTCGTTACGCCTGCACTCTTGGCATTGAACTTCATCTCCTTCTTCCTCAACGCGCCGGCGCACATACTCATACCGGGCATCAGCAGTACTCCCGCTAATAAAGATCCCACAATAGACCCTTCAACGAGACGTCCCTTGCCTTGGGTCAACGCGATAGAATAGAGGACGACTTCGACGACACTTCCGAATGTGGCATTGATAACAGCGCCCATGCCGATAGAGCTTTGGGCGCTGATGCTCGCCACAGCCATGCCAATGAAGTAAGAGAGAGGAATGACGCTCGCAAGGCTCATGAGAAAAATGAGTGCTTTTGAAGCAACGAGGGCGAGAATGCGAGGGACATGCTCGCCTGCATCCTCCAGATCCTCTGCCATCGGCATGAGCACAAATCCATCAAGAATGACGAAGAACACAAGCGGGAGGAGATTGACGAAAATGATATTAACACCTCCGACAGTGTATTTGTAGTATTGCCACCCAACAGCACGATAGACACATAGCAGTACAGTGCTCTTATGGCCAGACGTAGAGGGGACAGCCTGACCAGCTGCGAGACGGGGTGTCTTGACTGCACTAGGTGGAACAAGTGGCGCAGCACAAAAGCGTATCCGAGTAGGAGATGCGAATATGTATTTGATGAGAGCCCAATTGAGCTTAGCCATTGGGACAGTGATAATAAGTGCCCAGCAGGCAATACAGGTGAGCAGGAGAAGTGGGGCAACGAGCGTTATGAATAGGATCCAGAAAATGGCCCTGCCCAACCAGTCAGCGGAGATTTTTTCATATGGCGTGCGGTCTGTTGGACTTGGGGCAGCTCCATAGGATTTGGAGGGAGCTGGAGGGCGCAAAAAAGTTCGTTCGCTGGTGGTATTTGGGGTGATGGTGGGCGTGCGAGAAAGGGACGGGTTGGCATCGACAGTGCTAGCGCTACCAAGATCCTCAGGTGGGAGTGTGCTTTCTTCGTCATTGCCTTGAGCATCCCCTTTGACGTACTTGCCAAATGGCCATGCGAGGTACCAGCCCAAACCAAACATCAGCACAGCATAGCGCTTGCCACCAAGTGGAACAAGACATAACATAGCAGAGACAGCAAAGCAGGCCAGCGCAAGCCACCAGCCAAAGCAAATAACCCAAAAAATGTTTCCCGGGAGGAGGTGGCGCTCAGCTTGAGCAGAAGGGACGGAATGTAGCGCAGCATCTGCATGGCGAGTGACGGAGCGCGATTTCTTGTACAATGCAGGTTTCCAAATAGGCAAACCAAAAGGGTGCTCAACGTTGATGAGCGACTGACGATCTTTGACTGTAATGGGATCATCATCATCTCTGCTGTTTGAGTCGTCGTGTTCCGAGCCTGTCTCTCGTTCTTCACTGTCGCCTTCTTCCAGTTCTCCCTCCTGGTCTTGTATGCCTTTGCCACGATCTCTGCTTCCCCCAACACCTCTATCATTGACGTGATCTTCATAGCTAACTTCTTCATCCTGGCTGAGCATGCCGTCGTTGTCCCTGATTGGATGGCGAGGGCGATGAGAGCTGTTGGTACTAGTGCTGCGGGTGCGGCTGTTTGATAAACTATGGCTAATTGATGGCTGGGGGTACGATGCCCGGGGCGTCGGTGACGAGGAAGGACAGTAGGACGTCCCTGCATGATGGTGCGTTGGTGTCTCAACGGGTGACCAGTGCGAGCTATGGCTTCTGCTGCGGTGGAGATGAAGGTGACTGGTTGGAGTAGGCGTCGTGGAAAGCTCTTGGTTGGAGTGGTCGTCCATGTTCACTGGACTTGAGTTTAGGATGCACTTGCACAAGCAAGTACGTACTCTAGCTAGTATTCCTATTGGCTAGTCTCTCGTGACGAGGCAGGTCCAGTATTTACAAAGGAAAAACCCAAAGACAGTTTGAGATTACATTTAAACGTTCCGTTTACTGCATTAGGTAGATCTATATATATATACCGCCGACTAGAAGGGTTGTAGCATCAGGTAACTGACCCGAAAATGATAAAGCCATGCAAAGCTTTATCTATTCTAAAATACATATAATATCTATCACAATTGTAGTCCAAATGATAAAGCTGTAAATACCTGGACTAAGTCAGATGGAAACTACCAACAGTACAATCTTGACACTCACTTTGCAATTACCTATCAAGTTGGCAAATATCCACCAATTGTAGCAAAGCTTTAGAAACCTAGAGTACTATGGACAAACTCCCCAATGACTCAAATTGTGCTGGATACTGTGAATGATGTGATGATTCATTTTCAAAAACCAATTTTATTGATAAATGTATTACAGTACATGTGCTACATAGTGATACATAGTGGGATATGAAACAAGAAAGAAACTAGGAAAGTGATACTTGAAGGGACCATGAAAGAGGGACCACCAAAGAAGCCAGGGATGGGGGCCATGGAGGTCAGAGAGGAAGGTCCACCAAAGAAGGCCAGGAGGAAGGTCCACAAAGGGGCCAGGGAGGAGGGTCCACCAAAGGCCGGGGAGGAAGGTCCACAAAGGAGCCAGGAAGGAGGGTCCACCAAAGAAGGGTCCACCAAGGAGCCAAGAACGGTCCCCAAAAGAAGGCCAGAGAGGAGGGACCACCAAGGAGAGGGAACTAGAAGGAGGGCTTGACTCTTGAGGAACAGAGATGTTTAGAGTAAAAGAGTGCTTAAAGACGAGTGAAAATTGTCAAACCCTTGACTCCCACGGGTGCATACCTTAGTCAGCATTTTGAGCAGTGCAGCTTGATATTACATAATATTGCAATTCCAGCAATCATCTGTCGACATTTATCTACCATGGATCACACTTGCGATATCTTACATACCAACATCAGACTTGTAATTTTTTGGTAATTTCTTGTTGTTCAAAGTCATAGTGCTCCCAATTATATATCACTTTATCTTGTAATATAAATATATATCTATTCATTGACTTTGAACCTGATTCTGTCATACATATCTAGGAAAACCTTCTTCTCGCTGGTTTACTGATGTACCAGCCTATCTTACTAAGGTGCTGTTTGGACAACAACTTCTGAATTCAAAATTCCTGGTTCAAACCGCATGTGATGACTGCACGTGAGCAGGATCACCCAACTACATCCATCACCATCATCTAGATACATACCATCATTGATATGTCTGATAAATCCAGTGGTAGCTCTTCGCATTCACTATGTTCTCGAGGCAATATTGATGTGACATCGGCTGCTGCCTCTGGGACTACCCGCAAGCCTCCTGCAATGTGGACAAAAGCAGAGGAAGGCGCCTTTCTTGACTTCCTCCTGCTTGCCCTACCTATAAAGGCTAGACACATGTCAATCCTCAGTCTTGTGTAAGTGACTATATTGCTATATACCTAGACACACGTCAATCTATCAAGATACCATTAGTGTCTAGGCAGCATGTAAGTGATAATGAAACATACCCTCAGTCTTGTGTAAGTGACTGAGGGAAAGGGAGAACACAAAGGGACAAGTATATAAGTGTCCATGTTGGAATACCAACATACCAACAATCATACTCCGTGTCACATTGCACGTGCACATTCGTGCATCAACACTCCTCCTCAACTGAATCACCGGAGGCCCAGGTGGTTTCAAAGCCGTTCATAATCCTTCTTCGCAAGTGCTTTAGTGAAAATATCGGCAACATTGTCTTTCGAGCGAACATAGTGGAGTTTGATCTCACACAGGGACACACACTCACAAATAGAGTGATAAGCCATGTCAATATGTTTGACCAGGGCATGGAAAGAGGAATCTTCAGTGAGCACAATAGTGCCATTGTTGTTGCACATGAGGGGGGATGCAGAAGATTGAATGAAGCTAAGTTCAAGTAGCAAGGTTTGAAGCCATTTGATTTCCTTGCCAGCCTCAGATGCTGCCACATATTCAGCCTCACAGGTAGACAGTGAAACTGTCTTCTGTTGACGTGCACTCTAAGTAATGAAGCTGCTGCTGAGGGAGCAGCAGTATCCACTGACGGATCAATGAGTATCCGAGCAGCTTGCAAGGTCACTGTCAGTATAGACGAGGAGACATGCTGTGTGGTCACTGCCAAGGACAAGCTGCATCTCATGTGTGCCTTTAAGATAGCGGATCACACATTTTGCAGTTTCCCAGTGCGCATGACAGTAAGTGTCCAGGAATTTGCAGAGTTGCTGGATGGCATAAGCTATGTCAGGCCTTGTGCCAATGGCAAGATACATCAGCAATCCAACCAGTGAACAATAAGGAGTATGTGACATGATTTTGCATTCAGTGTCAGAACATGGGGAGTGCTCATGGCGTGACAGGTGCAGGCCCAGTTCCATAGGTAGGGAGACAGGTACAGCATCCTTAAGTCTGAATTGCCCAATAATACGGTCAATAAGGGCTGTTTGCAACAAGGATATGGTGTGAGCCAGACGATCATGAGAAATAGCAATTCCTAAACAGAAGTGTGTGTCCCTGAGTTCCAACACTTGCCATTTGGTTTTAATTTGAGCTTTGAAATCAGCTATGGCAGCTTTGGTACTGCTGACGGTGAAGAAGTCGTCAACATGTACAGCGATGAGGAGAACACCGAGCACAGTCTTGTGGTAGTAAATGCACTGTTCACTTTTAAGCTGGATGAAGCCCCATGATAACATCAACTCATTAAGGGTGCGGTTTCAGAAGAGTCTGCCCTGCTTCATTCCATAGAGTCCCTTTTGAACAACCTCAATGAAACCTTCGGGCTGTTCCATATAACAGACTTCATCAGAATCGAGTAGGCCATATAGAAAGGCAGTCTTGATGTCAAGCTGTTCGATTTCCCAGTTGAGAGCAGCGCCAATGTGAGCGAGGATATGAAAAAATTTAAGATGAGCTGTGGGAGACAAAGTCTTGGTGTAGTCTTGCCTCCAAACAGCAGAGTAGCCATGGCAGACATATTGTGCTTTGAATCTTGCAGGCTTTCCATGTTGGTCACGCTTGAGCTTGAAAACGGGACAGCCTTTCATTACTTTGCATCCTGGAGGGATGGCAGATTGTGGCACCAATTTGTCGACACTGAGCTTGCAAAGGGAATTGAACTTCTCCTGCATCACCACAGTCCAATCAGAGGCATGTTCAGAGTGCATAGCCTCAGCATATGTTGTTGGGTCATCTGGGTGCTCATTTCCAAAGTCATCAGGGAGGGCAGTGGATACTTCTATTAGGTACGTGATCTCATCTTCGAGATCAGTCAAAGTGCTGTCAATCACCTCTGTAGCATAGGCCTGCACATCATCGAGTGTGCAAAGGTGTTCTGCATTAACTAAGGAATTCAATGTGGCCTGCTGTGTCGTATTAGTGTAAGGGATGCCTTCAGCGGCACATTGACATTCAGATGCAACAGGGCTGCATGATAAATGCTGTGGCTCAGTAGTAGTGGGCGGACATATTGGAGCTGGAGGTGGGATGAGCAAGACAGGGAGGTCATCGCCAACTGGAGCATCAGTGACACTGGCACACTGTGACGAAGGGGGGGAAGGGACAGTGGAGTTCTTGATGGTAAGGCCAGGGTGCAAAGGAGTCTCACTAGAGGTATGTGATTCAATAAAAGAAACATTGAACGAGACGAACACTTTGTGAGATTCACGGTGGTAGCAGTGATAGGCTTTAGAGTCAAGAGAATAGCCAATTAGCACACATTCCACAGAGCAGTTGTAGACTTTAGGATTATGGTGATTTTGAATCAGAACAAACACATGACAGCCAATTTCATGAAGGTGTGATAGATTGGGTTTGGCATCAAACCAGTGCTCATATGGAGTATGACCAACTTGCAAAGCAACAGGCGTACAGTTAGTGAGGTAACATGCTGTGAGGACAAACTCATCCCAGCGATTAACGGGGACCCCACATGCTGCATGCATAGCTTGAGCTTTTCCCATCAGAGTGCAATGCTGTTACAAGAACATCTAGACGCTTGGGCCCCTACCATTTTTCTCCTTATCCTCCTCGTCTCCGCCCTTGCATCACACCCTTACCCCAACCTTGCTCTTGTTATCCTCGTCATCCTCACATTCCCCTTCGCCCTCTACCTGTTGCTCCAGCAGAGCCAGTACATTTGGCCAGACCCTTTCTCTGATGAAGCATACCCATGCTCCATTCCACCCATTGACTGATCCTGTGGACAGTCCCCTTTACCCTTACTGTCCAGATGGTAACCTATGACACGATGCACGCCACATCTCCTTTGCCCTGTTTCCTTTCCTGATCTATGACTTGGTGCGCAGTCACACATTGTACTTATACTTAGCTCCGCAGTTGCACGATCGTGCCCCTGCTTGTTTCACTTCCTGTTTCTGTTCTTTGACTCATTTCTTATCCGCACGTTCCGGTTCGCCTATGACTCACCTCGAACATGCCTTCCATTTCTAGTATCACCCTTTGGCCAGTTACCCTTCCGGTAGTACAAGTTATCATCCGCTAATACACTTCTTCTCCTCTATATAAACTCGCTACCATGTATCTAGTTCCTTAACTTGAATCTACTTGGTTCTTGACCTCCTACTCCTAACAAGAGTGATTCCTTCTGCCTAGCCAGCAGTCTATATTCTACTTTCTTATCTGCTCATTGCAGATAAGTCTTTAGTCTCAATCTTTACTCATCAACTTCGTCGACGAGCAAAGTCCCTGTTAACTAGTTGGACTTCTGTCTTTCTATTAACGCAGATCTTACAATTAACCTTCGGGTGTCGTAAGCCTTGGCAGATACACTTATTGTTGAGCCCTGCTTGACATAAGCTACCCGATTTGGACATAGGTGTTAAATCTTACTTGCCGAAGCTTCGCCAAGTAAGACCCCTAACCTTGGGCTAGCCCAGGGATGTCCTTGACCATTGATGACACACGCTCTGTTTGAGTGTCATCAATAGATACTATCCAAGTCCGTAACAGATGCAGGCATTCCACACCATCATTTTGTGCAGAAGTATATGAAACAGTAAATTGATGTTGAGAACCATGAGAGAGGAGTCAATCTCACATAGACTCAGATTTGAGTTCATCATTGTCTGAGTGGTATATGCCGACCTTCAGACCACATTTAAGCTCATGGGCCCATTTCCAAGCTTGAAGGGCTGGAAAGGCATCAGACTTGGCTGCTAAAGGAAGAGACCATGTGTAGGATGAAAAATCGTCAATTAGGTCCATTACATATCTATTTCCTGCTGCAGACACAGTGTCTGGATGTTCCATAAGGTCTACATGCACAATGCCCAACTTCCTAGTAACCTGATCCCCCATCCAAACCTTCGGAACACTGGGCTTGGTCTGTTTGCCAAGGATGCAAGCATCACAAACGGGAGGTTCTGTACAGAGATTGATGGGCATACTAGTCATGTTGCCAGAACAAGCAAGGTCATATACTTTGTATGGCCAAGGTGATGATGCCAGGATTGTAATGTGGGAAGGCATTGAGCAAGGTAATTGTATTCCACAGATAGCTGGCCACCAGAGAGTGCATAAAGCTTGCGGGAGGTGAGGGTACTGGACAACATGCAAGTTCCACTGCAGGCTTGGACCCAGCAACTAGTGGCATCGAACGAGGTGACACAACAATGGGCAGTGCAGAGTGCAGACACAGAGAGGAGGTGAACAGTGGCAGCAGGGATAAAAAGGACATGGTCAAGGGTAAGATAAATACCTTGGGCAATGATGAGACGAATAGTACCAACCCCAATGGCCTGAATGGAGGAGCCACTCACACCACTGACTATATAAGGAGGGATAGGACGAAGGTTAAAGAAATCTCCTTTGTTGTTGCTAATGTGGATGGAAGTGCCACTATCTAGGAAGAAAAGCAAGATAGAGGGGTCTACAATGGTACATTGACACTGGTTGGGTGCCCTATACATGATAGCTGCAATGTCTACCAGTTGAGAGTGGTTGTACTAGTCGATGCTGGTCTGTAAGGTGTCTACTGCAGCTGGGAGGGCAGAGAACTCATCATCATCATTTACAGATAGTTCTTGGATGAATGCGGAGGTCATTGTATCACATGTGAGGCCAGAAAATTTACAAGAATCAGCAGTGGATGGGTTAATGATAGGAGCAGGGAAGGGAACAGAGGCAATATAAATAGCTTCACCAGACTCATCATCAAGTAAGTAGGCACATCCACCCTGATCGTACCAGACACCTCCTGGCTTGCCAGTGGAGGCAGCTCTCTTGGTGGTGGACTTGCTGGTAGATCCTCCCTTACCACTTGCTTCTTGAGCAGCACACTTACGGGCTAAAACTTTGTCATGCTTGCCCTTCATTGTGCCACCCTTGGCAAAATAATCTTTTGCATAATGCCCCCAGTTGTGGCAGGTGGTGCAGAAGAAGCTATGGCCAGTGCAGCCACACTCAGAACAAGTCTTAGACTAGTTGGACTGAGATTGTTGCCCTCGTTTTCCAGTGGTCATCATAGCAACGTCGCCTGATCCCTTCATCTTCTCAATATCGATGAGCTGTTATTCAACATCGAGTTAGGCATGAATGTTAGATGAGCCATATGCATTGGTGGAAGAGCTGGTAGAGAGGGCATCTGCAATATGATTCCAAACATGAGGCAAGTCATCACTCATAGCATTGAGCATCATGATGGTGAGAAAATCATTCTTCTTGGGCAGTCCAATTGCATATATGTGTCGGACTAGCTCACCAAGTAGAGTACTAGTGGTGGAAAGGCTCTTGGAGTGATGATAACAAATCGCAAGAGCTTGTTGAATTAATAGAATTTGCGCGATGGGGCCAACCTTCTCGTGATGAGACTTGAGAGCATCCCAAGCTAAGTATGCATTATAGTATGTGCAGAGGAATTCCTGTTCTTCAGGACTGGAACAAGTACATAAAGCAGCAATGATGCAGAGGTTGTTTAAGTTCCAATGGGCTGCGCTTGATGGATCAGCAGAAGGGTTAGGACGAGGGATGATGCCAAGGATGTAGCCACCACCATGCTTCAAGAATAGGTAGTTCTACATCTTATCAGACCATACTCCCCAGTTATTGGTGCTGTAGTCCAGAACTTCAATCTCCTCCAAGTCTGTTTGGCTAAGCGTTATGGCACTGACAGTGGGAGTAATAAGGATCATGTGGGCAGAACCTCCAGGTGAGGCTAAGCTTTCCCCTTTGTTACCTGAGCTGTGTGAACATGTATGGAGACCAGCGGTAGCGGTTGTGTTTGATTTCAGCGGCATGATAAGTGACGAAAGAGAGAAAGAGAGTTAGGAGAGAGTTTGTGTCCCATGCTCTGGATATATATATATTTCTTGGGGGAGATTGCTTCTCACCCAAAGAGGAAGAATTCAATGTTTCAATGAACACTGATAGATACCAACAATCATACTCCATGTCATGTCGCATATGCATATCCATGCATCAACACTACCTTCATCAGGAGATGGAGGCTTCAAGATGCCTACCTTTAATCAGGCATCTGCCAACCTCAAGCTCAAATTCCCACATCAAAGAGGCGCAGAAAAGAGTGGTCTAGTTTGCAAGACCAAATTTACAGTGGTGTGTTTCTATTGAACCTTTTCAGCTGCCAGCAATGTCCTTATGTATTTTTATAGCTCAAGAAAGCATACTACAGCATTGTTGATATTAAGTGTACATCTGGGTTTACATGGAGTAATGAGCATGGAGTGGGTATTACAGATAGAAAGGATGATGTGTGGGTACACTTTGTCAAGGTACACATTATGATAGATTGTGCACCACCTCTTCATGACATTGTTTTCAGACACACCCTAATGTGAAGTTCTTCATAATGAAGGGCTTCAAGTACTTTAAGACTATGGAACTGTTGATTTCGAGCAAGGCCAAAGGCTCACATGTCTTTCAACCCACTGCTACTGCCAGCAATGCAACTCCTCAGGATTCTACCACCTCTACATCACCTTTGATCCCCACTGCAATCAAGAATGCCCTTCAGGGGCCACCATCATCAGTAGATCCTGACTCCCTTGAAGTACCTGCTTCCTCTACATTTCTCAGTCTCTCCACCAAAGGTTCTACCACTGACTTGGTATTTACAAGCATTAGCCATGGAAAGCACAAACTTAGCACAATTTCTCCCACATCAGTTGCGGACTCCCAGAAGTGGAGTCGGCTGCCATCTGCCATGTTGTTAGTGCAGCAGGAGGGTACTGAGACAATGAAGAGCCTTGTTAAAGTCATGTGTGAGATACATAAGAACCTGGTGTCAGCTCTACCACAACCACTGGTGCAATCATAACCTTCCACGCATGTTGGGAGTGCTATTTCTTTACTCAATAGATACACAGACCTGACCAGTAAAGAGCACTTAGCCATCACAAACTTTTTAGCTGAAGATGAAAACCAGGTAATTATGTTTTATTCATTGGATGAGGTGACAAGGCTTGAGTGGTTGGAAGAGAAACAAGTGCTTTTTGGTAATGTGCCACAGGCACCAGTTCACTCACAGAACCATATAACTACATTATAGCATGCTTCATTGTGTTCTCCATGGGAGTATCTGCCAGTCCTTTCAAAAGTGTCCTGCATTCTGCAACATTGTTCTCTACAAAATCATACTTGTGGTCAAGAGTGAGATCAAAACCTTCAGGATTGTACCTTCACATAAAATTATGAATCATGCATGGCGCTACTGGGATCTGGGCCTAGATATGCATGCTGTATTCAGGCACAATTGTTAAAATGTGCCATTGCCTTTTCAAAACACCAAATATCTATTCAACAATGTTGCATAGTGCCACATGTTGAAGATTAAATAGTTCCTTAGAGTCCTTTGGCCTATAAAAATTTAATAGAAAATCAGATGTATGATAAACAGACTCACACAATGTTTTCTTGGCGCCATTCTTTCAAGTAATAGTGCATTCCCTAATAAGGTACTAGAAGCACATCACAGGTACCAAAGCCTGCATCAGCAAGAAGGTACCTGTGTGGAGGTATGCGCAGATTGTGAGAGCACATCTTATTCCAAAGGGTTGCATCAGCAATCGAGCTGTCCCAACCTGTGAGGGAGTACACAAAATAAAAGTCCAAGTCACATATAAACAGGCAGTTTCATGATAAAAACTCCTTCTGGTTACACAAGATGGTGTGCTCTCTGAGTAGTGCAAAGACCTGGATGTGAGTGCCATCAACAGCACCAATATGCTTGTCAAAGAATCTGAATCGTGAGTCAGCATGGACTACCGCAGAAATGAGGGTATTATAGGTTGGGAATTGGATATTGGAGGTGTAGAAGGGATGTGATGAGAAGAACATGAGTATTCATTTGAAATATCTGCAAAAGTTAGCACACTACTAGTCTCAAATAATTAATGTATTTACCTAGTAATCATGTTGGGAAAACATTGAAATCTTTCTCTGATGTGACAAGATAATAGTCTGGTAACATACATGTACAGAAAAATACCAAGTTGTTCTGTAACAGTGACACTGTTGCATGATTGAACAAATCCATATTGGTGGAGAGTGTCTAACAATTGCTCAAATGTCTGAAGGTTGATGCTGAAGTTATGTTTGATTTAGTCTGGATGACTGCTTATAAGCTTATATACCTAAGCTTGGCTGGTAATGATCGATATATGATACAGAATTCATTTAGTGTGGGACAAGAACAGAAAATTATATAGGTATGTGATCTGTACAATGGCAATAGTGATGATGATGATGATTTGGTGTTGTTGACACTGTATTTGTGATTCAAGGTCTGAAATCGCGATGGGTGTAAGAACAGGACATACATTTGATCCTATGATTATCTATCAGTATGTATCACATATGGTTTGAACTAGGAATTTTGAATCCAGAAGTCATTGTCTAAACAGCACCTTAGAGCCTGGACAGCTGTCATAGGTTATTTCTGAATGTGGCATGGCACTTGTGATATAACAGTGAGCAACAGTGACCTTGTGTGATGATCTTAAACACCCACTTGTCCCTTCCTTTACCACTGCTATGGCAAAGAAAAAGACTATCACACCTTCAACAAATAATGTCAAAACTTCAGTGGTTGCTCACTGGACTGTCGAAGAGACATCCCACCTTCTTGAATACCTCATAGCTCTGTTATAGTTGAATTGTTCATCACCTTCCATACTTAGTAATGTGGTCCTTTCCTTACTTGGTAGCATGGTCTATGCACTCTCACATACAGTATATATAGTAGGTAAGTACCCAGCACATGTATTCCTTACTCACTTTGTTGGATAACACTGTTTTATGTCTATGGTCTGACTGAGACCCAACTTTCTATCAAGTTTACCATGCTGAAGGTGGAGATGGGACAGGATTTAAACAGTCCAATTTTACTGGCACATCATTAGATGCATACACATGTGAGGCACATATGAGGCAATGTGTGTATATGTGATGTGCACATAAGCAAAGCATTGAAGATGAGGAATCTAAACTGTGGTCAAAGTTGGTGCTAAGCTAAGCAAACACAGATAATCCTGGGTGCAAGTGAAAATGTTGACCCAAGGGTAGCTAACTGGGTAAAGGGAAACCTCTCTTATAAAAAGAGGGACACCAAACTACTAATAGAGTAATAAAACTAATAGATGCGCAAAGCACGAGGCAAGAACAATGCAAGATGCGGTATGCGGATGTGCGAGTGTGAAAGGCAAAGTGTGCGATGCGAAGGTAGCGCGCACAAGTGAAGGCGAAAGGTGAATGAGTGAAAGAGACTAAGGTGAGACAAGGTGAGATGAGTGTTAACACCCCAACTAAGGTTGGCTGATGCTAATGCAAATGCAGACAACTAATGCATGTAACTTTAGATAGTCACTGCAAACAACAAGTAAAATTCCCCTAGTATCTAAGGACACAGAGAAAGTGGGCAGTGTAGAGACTCATTCCTGACTAGGCTTGTAGATACTGTCTTTACCTTATGTTTGCTATTTTGTAGCTTACATAATCAAGTTACCTTTTCACCAGTTTCCACCACCAGTCAGAGTCTTAGTAGTTTTCCTCTCTCTCTGAGCTTTGAGCTTAGTACAGAAACCCTTTAGGGTCAAACACTGTCTTCTAGACAACGTAGCTAGGCAGCAAGACCCAACATTATTCAGACTAATTATCTGAATTGTTAAACCTTCAGTAGAAAATCGACCCAGTACATAAGTAATAGAGGGGTATAAGTAAAATAGCTAAGCGGCGCTAGGTGTGCAGGTCCGATGTAGCAAGCCGAATAATCTAAATATAGTATGCAAAGTAGGTAATAGGGTCTCAGCTGCACGTGTAGCGCTAACCCGAGTATTAGTGATGGAAAACAATTAGTCAAAATGGGAATATAGTGAGAAAATGCACCAATGAACATCTAAGGACATGGGGAGGATGGATGGATGGGTATGTGGATGATGTGCAGGCAGACATGCGGTGCGCATGACATGTGAGTGGCTGTGCGTGGAATCTGCAAAATAAAATAGTGTGCACTACCGTGCAAGACATATCCTTTGGATTAGAGCTGGAATGTGTAAGGGAAGTGGAAGAATTTGAGGGAAGTGTCTGTGGAGATGCGAGTCTCTACAGCATGTAGGTACAAAGTGCGACATGAGATGCAACAGTGCAAAAGAGAAGGCACACAGATGTAGAAAGTGGGCAAAGGATGTGGGCAAGACAGTAGAGTGTGTGCTCTTAGAATGTCTATGCGCAATAGCAACTGAGCTAAGGGATGGAAATCCAGGTGAAGAGAAGATGAGAATGGCTGGATGCTGAGGATATGCAGGCTCAGTCCACAGATGAGAAAAATAATAGATTCTTAGTACTAGGTTGTATCTATACTGAAAGTACGTAGTGGTGGGTTGTGCATGAAAGAAGTTCCCATCCATTTCCTCCACCCTTCTTTTAAAAAGGAAAATTGCCTACATGTGATTATGCTAAGTGGTGTGTGCAAACACAGAACTGAGCCAAGTAGACGTAATAAGTCTAATAATATAGTCAGGGTCTATTGCAGCTGCCCTATATTTAGACGTGGAATTCAGGCTGAAGGTACATCAATCAAAGGAGAATAATCAAGACATGCACCAGTGAACCAGAGGAGACATAGGACACACCTCTCTCATCTTTGTGGGATCTCGGCCTTATCCCATCTCCTCTCCGTCCACCCTGCCATGCTGATGAGCACCTGTTCCTATGGCAGGGAGTCAACACCCCTCTGCCCAGTACAATTTTGCATCCTCTCATTGAACACCTAGCGAGCATTGCCACCAGGGCCTCTCTCTGTGATGCATCCAGCTATGGTGCTGGCATCCGCAAGTTTCACCTATTCTGCGACATATTTTCCAAGCCTCATTCGGACTCCTACACTCATTTGTGCTATGGGCAGTGTCAGACCCTTCATCGGATGACCTGGTGCTTAGCTCACAGCCTTTGGTGCAATTTGAACCTGTATCAATCAATGTTGCAAGAAAATATCTTGCCGCCATATGAGCCTGGCACATTTCCCAAGGCTGGCCTCCCCCCCTTTCAGAAGACAGCCACACCAGAATCAACTGGTCTTTGCGGGTTTGGACAACCTACTCAGTTCTCGCTGCAGACCCCTCCACCCACCAGTCACACTTAACATGCTGCATGCGCTCAAAGCCACATTATCATTATCAGACCCTTTCAATGCATGTATCTGGGCAATGGCAAGCTGTGCCTTTTTTGGCATAATGTGTTTTGGCGAAGTTTCAGTAGAGTCCAGATCTGCCTTCAAGCCTGCGAAGCATCTCACTCGCAAAGATGTTTTTCTAGGGTTTGACCTAGCAGGTAAAGCCTATGCACGATTGGACTTGCCATCAGCTAAAATGGCCTGCCTAGGTGAAACTCAATCGGGTTTCCTTGTCACCCAAGGCTCACTCTGCCTGATCACGGCACTGCAGAATTTAGCCACCATCATACCAGCTCTCCCAGAGGACCCTCTATTCTCTTGGCGTGACTGCACTGGTGCCATCTGGCCCATGGTAAAGCAGCGTGCACTCGAGTGCATCAATTGCATCATGACGGCCTGGGGTTGGGGCACAGCCTTTGGGCACTCCTTCCACATTGGAGGAGCTTCCTTTTACCTTGCAAAAAGTGGATCCCAAAATTGTCTGCTTGGCAGGCTGTTGGTGCTCCCTTGCCTATAAAACCTACATACGGGCCTTTGAACAGGTTGCTTCACAGCACCTGAGCATCCTATAACCATAATGCTGTCTCACTGGTTGGGGTAGCTGGCATGATTCGCTGCAGTCTTGGTTCATCATCTTGTGGGCAAGCAGCAATTCTCACCAGTATCCAAACCGAGCTATCGCTCGGTCCCAGCCCAACCACTGTTTGCTTGACCTATATGTACCTGCAATAGACAAAGCTGGACACTATCCACACACAACCTCAAGGATAGTTTGTTTGATGGGCCTAAATCTAGACAATAGATATCACATTTAACTAGAGTATGGTTAGGGTTCCAAAATTACATCAATCCATAAGTTTTCTAGACTTGGGCAGATGTACTTGCTTGTATCCAGTTTAGGTATAGTTTATTCTTCTATTTGTCCTCCATCTAGATATGGGCATTTTCTCATTTTCACAGTGATGGTCTATACCTTCAACACTTCCCTTCAAATGGCAATATAGAGCCCTAATATTGAACTCCAAAATCATGGCAGAACCAGGATTCAAACCTAGGCCTTCCCAACTCTAGGGGAACATCTTAACCATTAGACTATCTAGCCATTACAGTTTCCCTCACTGCATCCAATGTGTGAATTACATTATATTCCAACACTGGTTTCCTCCAGTGAGTTGTCCTCTGTATCAATTAAAGCTAAGAATGATAGTTTTTTAAAAAAAAAAAACAATACTAATGGTTTTGCTTCTGACAGGTTTGAGGGTGAAGAAATTGGAGAGGTGCTGTAGCTTGGTAGTGATGGTTGTTGTAGTTAGATTTGTTGTATCTTTGTACAATCTTTCACTGAAATATGCCCTGAAGCCTGTTCTTGCTTGATACAGTGAGTGCTCTCCTCAATCTCATTATTAGATGGAGATGCCAGCCTAGCACTCTGGAGAGGAAGGAAACACCAAGATGCTACTGTGTCTAAATCATGCTTGTACTAACTACATATTAAGAGCATCCCTCTCTTTGACCACCATCTGGTCGGACTTTTCCCATGCTTTTTCAAGCAGGCAAACCCCCTACCATTCTCATGATTAACAATCCCGCATTATCATCTGCTGAAATACCTGGTCCTAATGAGGCCACCACTCCTCACTCTCTCAGGGAGATAATTGAGGTCAACCTCTTTATAGATGTTGACTCCTTGCTGACAAACATTGTTATAGCCACAAAAAGTCTTGACGGACTGATTGATTGGATTGAACTCAAAATCAAGTTTCACTACTCCATTATAAAATGTGTGCTCCAACTTACCTCAAAACATACAGAAAAATTCAAGTCTGCTTCTAAAGAAGTCCTATTTCAGTTCCTCATTAATATCCTCAATGGCAGAGCCACATGCACTGCCTTCTTCAGTGAAACAAAGACTACCATGGCCCCAAAATGCACTTACAGGGAGAGTAGATGTAAGGATAAGAGAAGTTAAAGGTCCAAGCGGAAAATAGAAAGAAGTCAGTATTTAATGTCAATGATGCGGAGGTGAAGAAAACATTGCCCCAAACTCCAGACTCAAACCCAGCCATCACAACTGCCACCTAAGGCTCAGCCTCATAGCCTCAGAAAAGAACCTCTTACCAACTCCCATTAACCCTCCCACCCTGGAGGTGATTCCACAGGCACAAGACCCTGCAGTTAGTAACTAGGAACTTGAAATGAAGAAAAGCAGATTCCTGGGAATTCAGAACCATCCAGCATGCGAGAAATGCCACACTAGGCCAGCTGCTGGTACTAAGCTTAACTGCTACCCCAAATGCACAGTGCACCACTTCTGCAGAAACAGTTATACATACATTGATGGATACACAGACTACCTTTGCTATTGTGCTGAAGAGTACAACCAGAGATGGAGACCCTGACAGCATATGAATAACCTACACATCAATGATTATATCAACAGATCACCCTAAGATGGTGCCACTGTTCTTGCAATTGCCTGGAGCATTGCATAGTTCTGACCACAAATATAACATATATACATAGAAAAGCACTATACAGTATGTAGTGTCCATCATAGGGCCTAGCCCCACAGGACAATAAATGAGGAACCAAAAAAAAAAAAACTACATATTGTCCTTGGACTCCAGACACCCAATACCCCTGACACCTGCTTTAACCCTCACTGCACTCTCTACTACAATATCTGCTATACAGCCTCTGTGTGTGTAACCTAATAAAAACATATCAAAAACTCTTCATATTTCTGTCCCTCTGGTATTGGGATACTCTACTAGAGTGTTTATAATATATTTACAATATATTTGTACCTATCCAAACCCTCATTTTACCTACTAGAGCATCTTAAATTATGTACTGTGCTGTACTAGCATAAAATAGAAAAAAAAAATTGAGCTTACGTATAGACTTCTATATATGATCCCCACCCCTTCAATACTATATACAACATATTAGGAGGATAGAACAAGAGGATCAGTTCCTGTGGTGCTATGTGCTTACCCACTTTTGGTGGTTCAACCCTGAGGTGGTTAGAGCCAACACTATGGCCACTTACTCAGGTAAGTTGACCAAGGACACATAAACACTTGTGAGCCGACCAGGCCTGCTGAACTCTGTGATTCACAATGATTTGTTGGCCTGGTCTCCATGTGTACTTCTTCAAGAGCCATGCCGAGACAGGCGATGTAATGTGACCAGCAGATATTGAATGGAATTCTAGGTGCTAGTTCTGACAACAAAGTGCAGAGCAACATGTTAGATATCACAGACTAGGCATGGTAAATACAAGGGAGCAAGGGGATAAGAGCTACTTGTGCCCAGCTAGTGAATAACACTATTAATGTGAACCTCTGATTCTTGAATGCCATCTGCATCACAATAGTTATGGAGGTACTATCTCTCCCAGCTGAGTTGTCACCCCTACAAGTCGTTGCAACCTAAATATCTCACTCAATTCTTACTTCTACACATAATTTACAACTTCAATCAATGTTTCTTGTACCATCCATTGCAAGGTTCTTTGAAAGCAGCCAAAGTCATGCAGACTTACACTGGTGACAGCCAGCTGAACATTGCTGTGGCAGAGTTCTAAATTGATACAACAACTGGCTATGATGACTTGTTAGTTGTAGGAGCCTAGAAAGTAGCTAGGTACAATGAGTGACAAGATTAGCATACAAGGCTACAAGGTACTCACCTCAGTGAGTGTAATAGAACAATGCTGAGGTGTGGGAAAGCTGCAAGTGAGTACAAAAGTATCATGCAAAACTATACATTTCAAGGAGAAACAGAACATCTATGACTAATAATGGAAGGATATATCAACACACCCCCTCAGTGAGCCACCAGCTGAAGGCCAGGCAAATGTTTATCAAAAAGGGGACAAGGAAGGGCCTTCGTCAGAATATCTGCAATATTACGGTGGGATGGAAGCTACTTTAACAAGAAAGTTCCCCATTCAACATGCTCTCATATGAAGTGATATCGCACATCAGTGTGCTTTGAACGAATGTTGTTTTTTGCTTCAGTAGAGAGTGAGATAGCTCCAGTGTTGTCCATGTGAATGGTGATGGGAAACAGAAAGGGAATGTGAAGTTTGATGAGGAGAGATTTGAGCCAGAGACCTTTCTGAATGATGTGGGTCACGGCCATGTACTCGGCCTTGGTGGAAGAAAGTGCATGAGTTGTCTGCTTTTTGGAAACGTGGGAGATAACACCACTAGCATAAAACCACATGTAACCTGAGATGGATACACAATCAATCGGGGAACTTGCTCAGTCAGCATCACAATAAGCATGTAGGTTGTCATTGACCCTGTCACCCCTGTAGTGGAGACGTAGGTTCTGGGTACCAGAGAGGTAGTGAAGCAGGCGTTTTGCAGCTGCAAAGTGTGCTGGAGTGGGATTGGAGTTGTGTTGTGCAAGGGAATTAATGGCATATGAGATATCTGGTCGTGTACAGACCGCAAGATATAGTAGCTCTCCAATGAGCTTTCGGAAGCGTGTAGGAAGGTTTGTGATGACATCATACGTGTCACCGGACTTGCCAAAAGAGTGGTGAGAGTCGAGAGGAAGACATATGGGATTGCAATCAAGTAGATCATATTCATCGAGGAGATAGGGAATATATTCACCTTGATGCATCCAGAGTTGGTAGGAGGAACAATCTTGCTCGAATTGAATGCCCAAAAATCTCGACACTGCACCAAGATCTGTGATACCAAAATGCTTGTGAATCTTCTATTTAACCCAGGCTAAGAAAGACAGTGAGTTGGAAGTTCCGAGTCTGTCGTCAACGTGGAAGCCAATGATGCAGATGATGCATGTCCCTGACTTGATATTGTCGAAAATAAACACAACATGGTCCACAGTGCATCAAGCAAACCCCAACTCCTTCATTACCATCTGAACTTCCTCATACCACTCCATTGCTGACTGCTTCAGCCCGTAGATGGTGCGGAGCATTCTCCATACCTGAACTCGCCAATCACCCTCTTCAAATCCCCGCAGTTGCCTCATATACAACTCTTCTTTCAGTACACCCCAAAGGAACACCCTCTTTGCGTCAAAGTTGTCCAATTGCCAGTTGTTTTTGCAGGCGATAGCAGCTATGAGACAGAGGGAAGCAGTCTTCAAGACTGGGGCAAATGTCGCCCCATAATCAACACCATAGATCTGTGAGAATCCCTGTGCGACGAGGCAGGTTTTGTACACTGACCCTCCCTTGTTGTCGTCCTTAAATTCAAGGACCCACCTGTTGCCTATGGCTTTGCATCCCTCAGGAAGAGTGGTGAGTTTGTAGATGTGAATCTCGTCCATTATCCGAAGCTCCTTCTTCATAGCTTCGAGCCACTCTGCTTTGTCGGTGTGTAGCATAGCCTCATCATAGGTAGCAGGGGGAATTCTCATGTCATAGTCGGGATTGTTCGGGTTTCATTTGCAATCACTTCAAATAGTGATGTTGATGTGTTCCTCAATGATTATATTTGCAAATGTCTCGGGGATGTCAATGTTGAGTTCAATCACCTCTAGGGCCTCCTCAGCTTCAACTCGCTCCTCAACTTTCTCAGCTTGCTCAGTCACCCCCTCCCTCTCATACCTAGCGTGTTCAGCGTGTGATTCCTGTAGTGCCTGAAGATGCTTCTTGGTGGCTGCCATCTCATCAGACCATGCACGACATGCCGTGGTGGGTACCTTTACCCACACAGAGCATCTGGGGTTAGTGGGGGCTACATCAGAAGAGGGCGCTGGTGCAGGAATGAGAGGGACTGTGAGAGGAGGATCAACAGGTATGTCACCTCCTTCATCCTCAGAATCAGAGTCATGGGGAGCAGGCAGTGAGGCAAAATGCTCATCGAATATGACATCGCACACCACAAAGAAGGCCCCAGTGGCCTTGTCATGAAGACAATAACCCTTTGTTCCATCGGGATAGCCTAAGAATATGGCTTGACGTGAGTGAGGCCCAAGCTTCACCTGGAGCTCAGTAGGGATGTGGGCAAAACAACAAGAGCCAAATACACAGAGGTGGGCAAGATCCTGTTTGTGTCCATTGACCATTTCAAAAGGTGTGACATTCGGGGGAAGGATGCGTGAAGTGCTCCTGTTCCAAAGGTAGCAGCAAGTTAAAGCTGCCTCCCCCCATAGATTGGAAGGAAGGCCAACAGTCTCCAACATTGCAAATAGGTGACCTTCAATAGTCTATATCACATGTTCTGCCTTTCCATTCTGTTGGTGAGCATACAGAGCGGAAAGCTGACACTCTATCCTGGACACCTGTAAGGCCCTTGTGAATGTGGTGTTAATAAACTCTCCACCATTGTCAGAGCGAAATGTTTTGACTGTACGCCCAGAATGATTCTCCCACCATGCCTTGATTATCCCCCAGGCATCAAGTGCCTGATCCTTTGTGGTTAAGAACTGCAGGTTTAGGAGGTTTGTGTGGTTGTCCAGGAATACAATAAAATGAAGCTTTCCATGGGGTGTCATGACAGGGAAAGGCCCACACAAATCTGAATGGACAAGATCCAACATGTTGGCAGTATGAGGCTCTTGAGATGGTGGAAAGGGCTTATGAGGGTGCTTGGCGATGATGCAAGCTTCACATTTTTGAAGAGGTGCAGACGTGTTCACCTTAACTCCAGTAGCAAAAGAAGGAAGCCACTTCACAGCATCACCCCCTGGGTGACCCATGCGCGCATGCCAGAGGTCCCATGACAGGGACAATTGAACAAAGGCTGTAAGCTCACGAGGAGGGTTCGAAGAGACAGCATCAGGACGAATGAACTTAAGGTCAACAAAAAATAAGTTTCCTGTCATTGGTATCTTGCCTAGGATTTTCCTGTGATACTTGAGCTTACAGTGAGCCGGCGATGGTTTGAAGTTGCACCCCCATCCCTTCCTGACATGTGCCCAACAGAAAGGAGGTTGATCATAGTGCCAGGGGCATGAAGGCAGTCGGTAAACTGCACTCGGTAGGTTTGTGTTCCTAGAGTCAATTCAGCAACACAGTCACCACGACCCAAGGTAGGGAGTTTGCCACGATTAGCTGTCTTTATGGTGACACGCGCATTCTCAGTGTATGTCCAGAAGAAATCTCTGTCCATGATCAAGGTGGTTGTGGTCCTGGAGTCAAGAATGGTAGAGAGGCTCTGCTGTGCGATGCAGACTATGTCCTCAGCACTTGGGCACACCTCAAATAAAAGATCCTCAAGTATGACACATGACAAGTCTGCGGGGGAAGGTGAGGGAGTTGTGGGAGCAACAGTGGGTGAGTCGCCACTAGTATTGGTGGCAGCGGCTGTGACTTCCTCCTTTGGCCTTCTGTTCCTGACAAAGTTACCTCCTTTGCCTTCCATTCCACCCCCGGGCTGGAAGCAGTGTTCTCAGTCATGCGTCAATGGCACAGAATTCCAGCACACTTGGGATTATCGCAGGGCACCCCCTTGGGGTTTGCCCTGTGAATGCGGATCCCGAACTTTGAGTTGTTTTTGGCTTCATGTGAACCAGGAAGAGATGTGGTGTTTGCATACTCAGATCCAGGGCCTGCTAGGATGCATTCTCCTCAGAGTTGATTAGCTTCCTCAGATAGAGCAGTGGCGACAGCAGGATAGGTGAGCTTTGTGACAGTGGATGAGGACAATGTGGAAGGAGTGATAGAGGAAGAGTTCGAAGTGCTGTAAAGGTTCATGGTCATTCATCTGAAAATAACCCACTCAGGCATCTGTGGAAGTCCTTGGAGCAGAAGGAACACTGCTTCATCTTTGGTGAATATCACACCCATTTTGACGAAGCGTCGCCTGGCATTCTCGAAGACACTGAGATAATGAGATATATCATTGGCGTCCTTGAGTCTTTCGGTGATTAATCTTGCTCAAAGTTCGAATTGTGAGGTGATGTCGAGACGGCCGAAGTGAGTTGCAAGTTCATTCCATTGATCTCTCACAGTTGATGCCTCATTCAGAAGGCCCTGGATGACAGGCAATAACTTTCTGCAAATGATTCCTTTTGCTAGTGCATTGTTTTTGATCCAATCTATCATGCTCTTGTTTTCAGCAGCAGTGGGAGATCCAGCTACAGCTAGTGAAGGCATGGTGAGTGCATAATCTGCAAAGTTGTTGGGGTTGGTTTTGGAACTGCAATGGTTCCACAACCCTTCGCCTTGGAGTGCAAGCAGCCCATAGTGTTATATAGATACATCAGTATACTACTATAGCCCTAAAATAGGGATACATCAACCAGTCTCATTATCTACTGTCCAACATGATGTATCACTGGATACATCCAAGTGTGACTCATCAAAATGGATTCTCAGCGCTTCCTAAACCTAATTTGAAGGGGTTGAATGCCATATATTGCACCTCCACCCCTCCTGGGGGCTTCTTGACCGATCTGGGTGGGTTCTTTTCATACGGCGGCTCACAATGAGATGGATCTGGGTCGTTTTGGTCCAGTAGAATGATGGAGAAGCGATGGTCATTGTGCCTGACTGGGGTAGACTTCAATGACAAAAATGAGTTGAACTTTGCAAATATCATCCATGTGTCACGTGATATCCTGACATGGTTGCTTTTGCTGTTGAGTGTCTTTTTTGAGTCTGACTGTGAGACACAATTGATAGACACAATTGATCCCCTGTCTAGCTGATTCTCACTATAGCAAGTGATATCCAGCGATGTAAGTATATAGTAGATGGACCACTGTGGTGTTCATTCAACCAAGTCTTATTGTCACATGACTGTGTTTATGGCACACGCGCAATGAAGTTTGAAGTGGCGAAGTGACTCAGTGCATTTTTGAAGTGGTGAAGTGACTCAGTGCATTGATTATTGATGGAAAATATGTTTGTATTATTCAATAGCTAATTACGCTGAATATACAAAGATAAGAGGTAACAAAAAATGAGGTAACAAAAATGCAGAGGACAAAGTCCATTGGCCCACTGAAGAGTTGCAAAATGCAATGCGCTATCATACATTTTGTTTCCTGTTTGAAAATGTAAGTAACCAGGCGACACAGATGGAAGCAGGACCTTACTTCTGTTTGCGACTCGACATACTAGATTCCTGTGCCGTGGTATGCTTCCTGGAAACAGTCAGTGTATTTTCGCCAATGCTATTAGCAGCAGCATTGCGCTTGGAGGGAATGGACACCCGACCAGTCCTACAGCGATGGCAATGTTTGTTGCCATCAGGGGAAGGTTCAGCACCACTGGCGGACAGCACATCAGGGGAGGGTTCAACACCACTAGTGGATGGCACATTTGACTGGTGCGGTAAGGGTTGCATTATTGTCTTGGCGATGACTGGTGTGTTGAAAGGGAGTCCAGGTAAAGTGGAATGGGAGGGGGTGAGGGCTGTAATTGTGGCTCCATGGGACTCGCTGGCTGAGAATCATGGTGCAGGAACTGTGCAGCCTGTACTGGAACCTCTGGAGATGCAGGGACCATATGGGATGAGGTAGCAGGGGATGTGCAACATATGGTGTGCAGGGCATGTAGCAGTGGCGCTGGAATGGGTGATTGTGGGGTTGGGGAAGATGTGGACTCTGCATGTGGGTAGGGAGGCAAGTGCGGCAAGGCCAGATTACCACCTGACACCTCAAATGCTGCAACCTGGGAGCAAGATCAGTCCAAAAAGTGTCGTCGAGATTCCAATCACCAGTCAAGTTTTCAGAAAAACCAAGTGAGCTCTGTTGAGCTGAATCAAACAGCAGGTGGGTGTCTGGACCACTAGTACTGGTGGGCGTATCAGAAAAGGTCTGACCTGATTTGTCAGCATCCTTCATTCCGCATAATGCCAAGTGATTGCCATCAGATGATATATCTGATCATTGGGACACATCCTCCAGACCCCTTCCTATCTCAATCTCATTCAATGACAACATGGGACTCTCAAACTCGTTCAACAATGCAGGACCATCAAGCTTGTTCGACGATGTGGGACCCTCATTCAATGACGCAGGACTCCCTAGGTGTGCCCTTGAATCCACCATATCAGCTGTTATGAATGAGTTAAGTCAATAGTTTTTTCAGCGCCATGCAACTCACAATATACTTGATACAGATGGTCTCTGAATGGAGACATGATACCTGTTTCAAACTCAGGGTATGCCTTGCTGAAGTTGTTTCCGAGCTTGGTGTGACCCATGTGGAAACTTTGATTTAGGTCAGTGTTTAACTCTATTTCATAAGTACTAATGCACATGCCTATAGACGTCAATTGCACTGCTGGACTCTGGAGAAGGGCCACCCGCCAGGAGGGAGAATGTGAACCCAGTGGCTTCTGCTAGCCCCTTGAGGAACTTGTTAGTGATAGCGGCAAGTTTTTCTATATTTCTATGCAGTCTCATAAGCTGATATACATCATAGTCGATAGGCTGTAAAATCTATTACCTTGCATAATTGCCTTCGCTCCACGTTCCCGCCTCATCGTCCTTCTGCGTCCGAGTCTTCTGATTCTCGATGTATCTCTGTACCTCCACCTTAACCTCATCAGTCTCTCCGCTATAGAGGCTTGCTGTGTGCTGCTTCACAATGGCGATATACTTTCCATTTGTAAGTGTCTTATTTTCTGCTTGCAGTAATTCTGCTTCAGCTTTCAGTACTTCGTCAGCCGTTGCCTTAATACACATATGGTAATAGAGCTTGGAATATGCCTCCGCTTCCTGAAGGGAACATGTTGGCTTCTCGGATTCGGCAACACTCCACAATACGGCTTTGAAGACATCTGTAGCATCAGCCTTTGCTTGCTGTCCTGCTTTTGTCGTACCAAGACTATTTTTGAAGCAGTTTTTTTAATTTCTAAGTCTCATTTGTGAATTTAAAGTGAGCATTCACAATTAACACATACTTCTTTTCGCTCATCACAAGCCTTATGCATCACAAGCATCTCATCTTGAGTCAATGGTCCAACAGGAGGTAAACTAGCCAGCCTTTGCTCTGGGAATGCAATGAACCACATCTCATTCAAGTCAGCAAAAAAGTTCAGCCAGTTTTTATTTTTTTCAGTTTGCTTTGCACGGTACTTGTCATACCAAGGAACTAACCATTCTTCCTGTTTAGGAGAAGTCCATTTCCGGGGCGCCATAATCTATATATTTTTTGTTATCAACAAGTACCATCCTTCTGGAAAAACAATTCATGTACGTACCATTATGGCGCTTATATGTGTGTGAGGGGGGAAATTAATTAGCAAACCCTCAAAGAAGTTTAGCCTGTCATTGCGGCAATATCTTATGCACAGACCCATGAAGTCAGCGTGTAGCGAGTACAATATTTTACTGTTCAATTACATTAACTACCTACTTAGTGTCCCAGAGCTTCTGGAATATAAATTTTTTGTCTGTGTATCGCTGGTGAAGATCCATCCCCAACACCAATGCGCAACAAAAAACATCTTCCACAGCACGAATCACTTCCTTTGCCTCCTTGGATGCATCAGATGCCTTAAGAAATTTGGGGCTCATGCCCTCGCATCCTAATATATGCTGTTCCGTATCGTGCAACTCCTCAACAATCACCTCTAATGCAGATAGTGTCCCTCGAAGCCCATCTAAGTCACCAGTCTCGAGGTGGTTGTGTACTAGAGCATCTATCACCTGTGCAGGTGGTCCATCTAAGTACCTTGACAAGCAATCCCTTTTGTTACTGTATAATTGAATATTCAATCGTGGCAAGGGAATGAAATTAAATCAAAACTCATGTGGACTTTGTTTTCTGGTGGCGGTGAACATGCTGTGAGCCCTGATTGTCGTAAGGATCAATTATATGAGGGTTGATATCACTATGAATGACCTCTGAGATAAGCGGGTGAATAGATATCAACGATACACATACCCATTAACTTTTTTTGAGGGGAAGACTGGGGCAGCTTGTGCTTGGTTTTCCCGATACTTCACTTTGAGTCTTGCGCTGATTGCAGCTTTGTTCCTGGTTGAAAGTGAGTAACATATATTAATAAAAAGACGAGTGTCGTGGATTGACCTTGCATAGTGTGTCCATTGGTGCATCTGTTTGGCCTCTTGACGTTCTTCTGGAGTGTTATAGAGTTTGGGCCGACCCATGATTCAAGGTTGTAAGTGGCTAAGAATCACATAGTACATTTGGTTCATACCTTGTTGGACTTTGATAGGGCTTTTACTGGCTATATTGCTAACACCGAAATTCTCGACTCAAAGCTTGAATTTAAATGTGGGATCATAGCGTGTGCGGTCTTTGCATGGTGGATTGTGTTGCTTCAAACTACATAGACCAAGATACATAGGTAATGTAATGATTTACAATCAAAACAGGTTTAGCTCAGGGAATTGAAATTCGACACAATGTCCATCAGTGGTCCCACAACAGCCTGAGCAACTGTACATTTTACGAGCAAGTTTTGGATGAACCGACGCCCACAACATCCAGCTTCTTAATTCCTATCTGATGGTCAATCATCCACTGCAATCATTGAATGAACTGTTGACTGACTCGTTTCCTTGCCTTTTCAGCTGCAAAAAGTTCCTTCTCTTCACTTTCAGTCAATGCATCCCCCCGGCTGGATGTTCAGGCCATAGCAAAGCCTGCTCAGGCCATTTCAGCAGCCATTCATCATTCAACCATGCCCAGAAGGCAGGTTCCTTGCTGTGTGAAATTTGCAGTGTGTATTTGGTTAAGCGTGGCATCAACCACGTGTGTTGCTCTTGCGTCAGTTGCCAATCTGACATCTGGGCTGAGTCCAATGTGAGCTCTAGCTCAAATGATATCTCATGATCCATACCTTTTCAGCGACTTGGAGTTGGAGTATAAGAGGATTGTGCCGAAGGGACTGGCGAGAAGTTGTGCAGTTGGATCATTTGAAAGGTCCGTTCATTGTCCATTTTGATACATCGTTGATTTTGGTTCTGTCCGCTTGGATACATCATGAATGAGCTCACCGTATCATGGTGGCTCAACAATGTTTGGCTTGATAGTTGGATTGTGCTGTGACTGATGGTTGGTCGTCCCAGCAAAAACCTCGCCTAGTGCGACATGTGCTTTCAGATCCCACTGGCACATCTTCATGCAACGTCCAACGCCACAAAATATATGCTGTTGATCCCATCGGGCAGATCAATCTACGGACAACATATCTTAATGGGACACCAGCTGGCGCTACCCCAGAACTCAAGCTCGGCGTCAACACTAACCTCTTTGAGGATCCTTGGAACGAGTGTCAGAACAACACTTCATTCCTTGATACAGAGCCTTACACCAGCACAGGTTCAAAAGAAATATGACCGCGGACAGTTGGAGTAAGTTTGGATGTTGAAAATCTAGACTGAGAGCTGACCTCGAGTTTTTCAACAGGATGACCCCATTCGTATTTGGATCTCAGAACATCAAACTTATCTCGATGAATTCATCTGCTTGGAAGGACGTGGCAACACATGTCACTCATGCCATAACTGTGGTGATTCGGATGCAGTATTTTGTTGCGAAGACTGCTTTTCTGTTGCATTATACTGCCAGTCATGTGTTATGAACCTCCACCAGAACATGCTCCTGCATCGGCTGAAGGTATGTTTTTTTATGGATATCAATGCTTTCCACTAACACCATTGATTCAGAAATGGGATGACAGGTATTTCCATCCAATGACCTTGAAGCAACTGGGGCTCCACATACAACTGGGTCACAGTGCTGGTCAGCGCTGCCGCAAAACCAGCCTTTGATGATGATTTTACTGTTATTGATGTTCACGGAATCCATGAAGTTGCTCTTGACTTCTGTGATTGTGAGTATGCATCCTCACACTACAAACAGATCCTGCGCGCTCGCTGGTTCCCAGCAACATCCACAGACCCACAAACAGCTGCTCCGTTTACTGTTCTCAAACACTTCTACTTGCTCTCGTTTGAGTCCAAGGTATCCGCATTTGAATTTTACCACTGTGTTGCATGTCGGAGTGACAACACAGGCGTCAAGCCCATGAAGGTGACTTGTACTCTATCCTGATTGATTTACAACTGATCATTGAAATTCATAGGATCAATATTCTGTCTTTTTGTGAATGATGGCATAGTGGTGCAACCTCAAGGCACTAAAATGGGCAGGTTGTGGGCATGACCCAGCTGGAGTTAGCACTACCAAAGAAGGAGAAATTGTGGTTCTGTGCCTCACTTGCCCTCACCCTGGCAAAAATGTGCCTGAGACATTAGAGGACATCTCACCTGGGAACCAGTAAGATTTTACCATCTCTCCTCCCTATTTTCGTAATCTGAACACATTCTACAGATGGATCTACTCACTGTTTTTGGCTATCAATGCCAACTTTCATCTGAAATGCCAACTGGTATCCAGCGATGACAGGGACCCTGGATTGAGCCAAGGGTGGGGTTACTTCATCAAAGAAAGTAACTACAAGGTGTACCTTCAAGAAAATGCAAGTCTAGCACAAGAGGTAAGTTGAATGATTATTGCTTACAGCCATTGCTGATTTAAATGCCTTAGAAAAGTAATTGTGTTAGCCATAACGCGGTCAATATGGTGGACATGAAATCTTCCAAGGGACTCACAGCAATGGGTGTCGGCACTGTGGTGTGCACGAGGCATGACATGTGGTTAGCAAATGGCATTGGGAATCTTCAAAAAGGTGAAAAGTGAGTACTCGTGTCACTGGAAGAACATTATCAGTTTTTGATTTCATTTGGTCAGATACTTGAATATGGATTATATTGTCTTCTCTGCACTTTCACACTTTTCATCGTCAATCCCATCCATCAATTTCTCCTATGATATTGCATGTCAGTGGCACAAAAAACTTTGGCATCGTGTGTCAACTGCTCTTCCCTTACAGCTTCATCCCAGTAGCACTCAACAATACAGGTTTTTTATTCCGAAGTTCCATCTTGCAGCGCACATTGCAGCCTGTCAAACGACTTTTTCATTTGATTGGTCTCCTTATGTTGGACGGACCGATGGAGAAGCGCCGGAGCATGGTTGGGCTGACATAAACCGTGTTGCTGTGAGCACAAAGGAAATGGCACCTGGTACACGTCGATATGTCTTAGACTATTTTGGGGACTGGAATTGGAAAAAGGTGACAGGTCTTGGTAAGTCTCGAGTTTTAAATGTTTATTCAGCAAACTGATTACTTTGCAAGGTCGAACACTACTACGTAAAATAACAGATGCTACATATGCTGAACAGGACCATCACCATGCATTGGTGGACTTGGAGGGCTCCATCAAACAGTCAGAGTTGGGCGCTGCGTCACTCGTGGCTTGGACTGAAGAAGTCATTGCTTGGGAGAGCGATCATACAAAACCCAACCCCTTCAACAGTCAAAGTCAAGGTAAGTTCAAAATTTTAGAGTGTGATCGATGACTGATTGAAATACTAGAAATTACCCAAGCCACTGTTTGTTTAGCGCTCATTCAACAAGATGCAAAAGATTTGGAAGAAGGATCGTCCATTTCCCTCCATTCAGAGGTGACACCTAGTATCCTCATTAGCACAGGGTTGGATATCGAGAATGTGCAGTAAGTGATGGATTGACTGCTACATGCTTCCTACTTACTCCTTTGTAGACGACATTTACAGGTAGATAATGCAGGTCTCACCCAACACTCAACCAACAATCAGCAAATGAAGACTCTGATGTACAGAAATGCTCTCCAATGCCACATTGATTCATGGATTGACATACAGGTCCTTTACATGCCCTTCATTGCTCACTTCCGCGCCACTGGTCTCTCTCTGTCTGACAAGGGCACCGTTGATGAAACCACCGGCTGTCCAAAAGCCAAACTCAACTCCATCAAAGCCAAGGATATCCCACTATTTCTTCCATCTTCTATCTGTAATCTGACAACATGCAATGCGAAGTTGCTCGAGGTTGAGTGGTCATTATGCTTGGCGCAGGCTAATGACGTGCTCGAAGAATGCCGCTCTCACATACGTCTCTGCCACCAGCTTCTACACTTCAAGGCGCAACAGATTCGCAGACAAAGTCTTAACACTCGTGCCCAAAAAACCATTCAAGTGGTTGAGGATCGGCTCATTCTTAGTCACGAGAAGTATTGCTGTGCTCGGCAAGCTCTCATTCATCTGTCAAGGCAACTAGACCATGTAGGCTGGGAGTGCAAGTTTCTTCCATTGAGGAAATCGGACCTTCGGCCAATGGGGGACCTTGGAGGTCGCACTCAAGGCACAGCAATCATGTCATGGATTTGGCATGTACACGGAATTCCTTCAGACAACGGTGACAGGTTTTAGGATTGTAAGTCATCAGTGATTACTTATATTTTTATTGCTTACAGCACGCCTAGTGCTACACATGGAATGGTGCAAAATGAGGGCCAGATGCAACCAGTGGTTTGAGGAAATCCAATTGCTCTTGGAGGAGATGCGGCGTGTCTTGGAGTTTCTCGATTGGCAGGCTAAGTGGTGGGAAGCATGGGTCACACTGCATGTGGCTGAGCAGTCTGAGGACAACGAGGGCTTGGTGGCATATGCAAAACACCAGGCTGCCATCTGTCGATCCCTGTCTGCAAAATTCAGGGCATTGTGGCACCATGTGACTGCTTTGGTAAGCGAAAATCTGGATGATACAGAGGCTGATGCACCGGCAGAAGAAGGTCCTTTTATTGATGCGCCCCCGCATCGAGATCTCGATGAGTTAGACTAATTGGCACAACTTTTCTCCTGTACCTTTATGTGAAATAAAACTTGTTTGATCCAAACAGCAGCTATATTCGTTCAATGTGACTGCTTGGTGACTGCTGGCTATATTAGACACAAGGATACTTAAGCTATGCGGATGTATCACTGAGTGGACAACTATGTCAGGTGATGTATCCCTATTTTAGGCCTATAGGCCAAAGGGATACATCCATACCCCACCATCAGGTGGTGCAAGGGCAACTAAGCGGCACCAAGCCAGATATTCATCTGTGCTAGTTAATTCGACAATATGGTCAAATTTTCCCATCTTGAAGACAGAAGTTTCTGGATATTAAGTTGTTGTATGATGGTTAGTACTCTGCTGCAGTGAGCATGTTGGAAATTTGTGAGCTTATCGGCTTCGTGGATCTGAGCTTTGTTTAGAGCACAGGGCTCATAACCTGTAGGAGCCTAGGAAGTAGCTAGGTACAATGAGTGACAAGATCGGCATACGAGGCTGCAAGGTACTCACCTCAGCAAGTGTAATAGAACAACACTGAGGTGTTGGAAAGCTGCAAGTGAGTACAAAAGTATCAATGGAGGATCCATGGCTGAGTGGCGAAGATGCAAAACTATACAGTTCAAGGAGAAACAGAACATCTATGACTAATAATGGAAGGATATGTCAACATCAGTGAGCCAACACACTCGGAGGTGGCTCGCCTCACTTAGTAACTGCAGGTTTTTACTACTCCATCAAACTAGGTATTACACACATTAATTCTCATTCTCATGTAGCACATCCTGCACCATATACAACCATTCTAATTACAGCCACACTTTGTACTATATTTCACGCTATACTGGTCAATCACAATCATATTTTTTGCTCACATCTCTGAGGCATTGCTGAGCGGGTTTAGAAATGGCAGCTGTGACCTACTACTGTGACAAAAGCGTTACTTAACGACTTGTGGGGGTGACGACTCAGCCGGGAGGGATAGTATGAGCAGCGAGGCGACATTGAAAATGGCGATGCACGTACTCAGGATGAATGCAGTGCGGCCAGCGAATATGTTCAACGAGTTCATGGCATCATCATGGGCACATAATGGCAATGGCTGACAGATCAGACAAATATTCAAATGTAGCTTAGCAATGTGGGATCATATGCGAACGCAAAAGAAAACGGGTAGAGTCGGCAGAAGTCTTGGGAAATGGGAATACGTTCGAAGAGACCTCCACTAACGTGGGAGTCGGGGATCATGGTACATCCATCCAATCAGGACACGGTACATCGTCTCTTCTCTCGATAAAAATTTCCCAGATGCTTCATCGCCTGGCCAAAAGTCTCACAAACTGCTACATCATCTCTTAGCCACTGCGGTAGTTTTCCGCGCATCGCAGGTAACGTGAACCGTCGATCAATAAGTACGAGAGAAGCCCAATCCCCACGGTGTCGGATGGCTCGGCCTTGCCCAGGGCTTGGTCAGCATTTTAAATATACGTCGTCGGACGTGCTCACCTATACTCTGATTGACTGCGCTCATGCACATGTTCTCATACATTTCGGTCGCTGCGTCTTTGCCATCGGCAGGCCTCTTTATACCGGATCGTGCCTCTGCTTGATTTGCGTATTTCATACGTTCCTGCAGCTCTGGAGAATTTTTGTTGGCAAAAGGCAACCCAATTACAACAACAGCACGGGCAAGATCATCTGAAAAATTTAGCCCCTCTGAAAGCTTGGCACCGACAACTGCAAATAGTACCGCGCCAGTCTTCTTATCTAGTAGTGTCTTCAAAAATAGTCATGATGGCGAAGACGTCACAGCTCGCTAGACCTACATGTGTTTTGGCAGCTGTAGCATACTCCCGCAGGATCATTTCAACTCCTGAACTCTCCTGGGGCTCGAAGAAGACCTAAATATAGTCAATAAACCGCCTCTGGTTACTTATAGTCACTTGCTTTCTTCTTCAGGTTAAATTTGTCCAGTATTCCACTTTGACTCCAAGCTTCTCTCGCGAAATTCAATGATGCGTAGGAAGGGAAGAAGACAACTATTCCCCCGGGCACGACGTTGCAGAAATTCGATACGATTTGACCTAACTCGGACACGACCTGCCGATTGCTCTGCTGCGCGAACTTGAACTCCAGGTCCAAGCCTGAAGGGCCTTTCGTAAGCAACAATGTCTGCACATTAGATGCCGGGATAATGTGACCACAAGAGAAAGTTGTCAGCCTGTTTAGAGGCAAGTATGTGAAAAGCTCGGACACTACAGAAGAAATCTATCCGCCATGTCACTGTATTGCGAGAGACTTTTGATAGAAACTGCTTACCGGCGACATGGTCCCCCCAGCAAGCACCACTGAACGCGCCAACTCCACAACATCACGGAACAACGCCGATGGATTCAGCAGCTGGTATTTAATCTCGATAGCATCTCCAACAACAGAGAAGATTAGCCTCCCGTCTATAACAATGTTGAACAAAGAAATAACTTTGATGCGGCTCGGCCTACCTTCACTTGCGCCCACTAGTCCCAACATCAATGCTTCAATGGTATGCAGTGGCGGCGTAGCTACACCTGATGGATGCCTCCCAATTTTCTCCCCTACAGACTCAGTGATATGTATGATTATGCCCTTGTCAGGGTGTACAAACCTTCGGAAACATCGATAACATAACGAGATATCTTCCGTGCTATCTGCGAGTAATAAGAAAAAACACCTAATGAAGTTAATGCAATATACTTTGCTGCGCTTAAGATACGATTCGATCTCGAGGAGATTGATACCCTCGACTTTTCTCCCAAGCCTGTGGATGAAATCTGGCACAGTCATGACTTCAGTTTCTTGCGTTTTGGATTTGATGCTCAATTTATGGGCTATCCAATCCATCGCAACTCTCTGAAATGCATCCAGAAAATTAAGAAGCCTCTTCAGGTGCAACGCATGCATTGCAGACAGCCGGTTGCGAAATTTTTGGTAATACACTGAGACCTGTTTGAACGAGGCCGACAAAATACTGGATGTCAGGCGGACACTTGAAAGGGACAATAGAGTTGGTATCAAGTCTAAGGCAAAATCAGCCGGTATAGAGGGCGGTCTAGGTGAGATGCCTACTATGCGCTTCATCAATGATGACAACTTGATTAGTCAAGTCAATTCCCAGGGCTTCTCGGGCGGTCTTCTGTAACAGCAGATTATAAGGGAGAGTAATAAGCTGAAAATTCAGTATGAGACCCAGCAAGGCACATCAGTGGAATCGTCTGCTGACCTCTGCCTGAGGAATCGCTCGTCTAGATCCATAATAAGGGCAAGCCTGCATATCTTTCCCAGCAGTGGCAAGGTCTTCTATATCTTTCGGTGATGCCTTGAAAAAGAACCTATCAGTACTGTTCACTTGAATAGATCATCTTCACTAACCAGAATCTGATCTCGCAGATCAAACATACGGCTGTCATCACCCACTGGAGGTAAATATGGACAGTGTGTATTTTGCTTCCCTGCGAGCATATCCTCGATGGTCAATGAATACGTGGATCACAAGCTAGTCTGGTACCTTCTAGTAATTCTCGACATTTCTCGTCTATATCTCCCGATCTTGACCTTGCGTCCTCGTTGATACACAGCTGTTTCCGAGACCCAAGTGATACGGTCCGCCACTGACGCTGATCAACTTCGCACTTATCACAATCTACATCGCCGTGGGTCCGTTTCTTCTGGCAAGGATCGCGATCAGCTCGAGATATATTTCCCGCTGTGCCCTTATCTGGAACAGCATCACCTAAGGCGAGGTGTTTGAACTTAAGTTTGGTCAATTCGGGCAGGACCTGTGAAAGTTGTGAATGTGTGCGAGACGCATAAAATATTTTCGTGCAGGATGGATTGTCTCCTTGAAAGGCTGGATCATGCTTGTTATTCTTGTCCATTCTGTTCGTAGGCGTTAATTGTGTCTCATATCAGCAATGTTTGACCCTAACTTTGCCATTAAAGCGCGAACAGCGGGGGAAAAGTTATTTTGGCTATTTTCACAGTCGTCATCGTCTGGAAGATATGCATCTTCGTCAACATAGCCTTGAACAAGATCGACTGTCACGCGCTACTTGTACGGAGTGAGTGGGTTGAGCCAAAACATGAATTCGAAAGCACGCACTTGCTTTTTGGTAACCCGTGCCCGAGCCAGCATACGGAAATGAGCCTCGGTCTTCCGAGCTCTGGCGAGGCGTTCCTCGTATTCCTTATCCTCTATCTCCAGCTCACGCTTCCGAATGTCGATAGCCTGAGCTGCCACCCATGATGGCACTGACATGGCTTTAGAACGTCGCTTGCAAGACCAACAGAGACCTACCACTGACCGGTACTCGAGAGTGACTGCTGCGATAACTGCCCTTTGCGCGCGCGGTCTTTCTCGTCCACAAGCCACGACAGGCTCGAACACAGCAAACTTAGGGTCTTACCCTGATTATCTTGTCAGATCAGAAAATTGCTGGTCAGCTGGTACAAACACTCACGGTGCCCGTAGGACTCTCCACGATGGTAACCTGCCTGTTCTCGATCGACGTATAGACGTGACTCATCAAGTCTATTTGTATCGAATAAGGCGGGTCGTATGGAAATGCTGGGAAATTGGTAGGAGTGGGAAGGACGAGGCCATTGTAGTCCATGCCGAAGAGTAATACTGAGGCACGACGCGTGACTCCTTTCACTGGTCCACCGAAGTGTATCACACAAAGCAGTGATATGGAGTGAGCGTGGGTGATTTATAAGATGATGTGAAGATGTAGTACGCTGTATCTGGAACTAGTGCATATAGTGGAACATTGTGGATAGTGAAAACAAAGGATGGAAGTAGCCAAGCGTAAGTGTGGCAGTTACTACTTAGATAGGTAGAGTACAATCAAAATCATACAACCTGAACTCTTGGGTATGGTAACGAGCAAGCTCAGTAGAGAATGTAATGCTGTCACGTCGGACAATACTCCAGTAACCAAATCTTTGCCGCACCGTATTCCTCCT